TTATTCCATTAGGTTAAGCCTTATCTTTAAAGTACCCGTTAAAATACACATTGAAGGTCAATAATTATGCAAGTTTTCATGGTGACAGAGGAATTGCTAAAAGCTTCAAAATAGAGTACAACACAGAGGGTCCCTGAGTCACTGGCAAATCCTGAAAGACGTCAGAAATTCAGGGTGGACTTAGAAATCTGAGTTTCTCCATTTACCACTCATCTGCTGCATCTGAGGGGTACCCCCTCACCTTCTGTTTGGGGTGGCCTTAATGCTTCATCCAAGGTAAGACGGCATAAGTGTGGTCAAGCGACCTCTACTACGCCAAGTGTAGTTCTTCCCAATCCACTGCTATTAGTTTCCAGGGGTGATACCTCTGTCTCTACCTTAACTCCGCACAGATGTATGTGCACACACCCAAACACACACACAAGCAGCTGAGAAGTGCACATTATCACAATTCCTCCGAAAGATGCCTCACTCCCACCGGTAGGTCCAGAATAATCTTGAGTAAACTTAATACTCACAGGATACATGCTTGTTACAGGCAGAGTTAGGAAATCTGTCTTGTTTGAAGGGTGTCATTTCACGGCAGAGTCCACGTAAACTGCTTGCACTGTGTGGAGTCCTAAGTCTTTTCTAAAGGAGAACATAATCACAGGTTTGCAGCTGAAATTAAAAAAGTATCTACTTAGCTGATGGTGATGAGTTGCACAGCAATTTAAACAAATTATCAGAACTTTTTCAGTTGCAGCGTGAGTTATGAACTCCGGAAATTCAGCCTTTTTTTTTTTTTTTTAAATAAACTGATTTGACACTACATTTTAAATTTTATTTATTTATTTTTGGCTGTGTTGGGTCTTCGTTTCTGAGCAAGGGCTTTCTCTAGTTGCGGCGAGCGGGGGCCACTCTTCATCGCGGTGCGCTGGCCTCTCACTGTCGCGGCCTCTCTTGTTGCGGAGCACAGGCTCCAGACGCGCAGGCTCAGTAGTTGTGGTTCACGGGCCTAGTTGCTCCGCGGCATGTGGGATCTTCCCAGACCAGGGCTCGAACCCGTGTCCCCTGCACTGGCAGGCAGATTCTCAACCACTGCACCACCAGGGAAGCCCCGGACTTTTTAAAATAAGCCAAATCATGGGAAAGGAAATATACCCGCTCTGTATGGAAAACTTTTATTCTTTATCAATTGGTGAATAGGTGAAAACTTCCCCAGAATATTTTCCTGAGCAAACTTTGATTTCTTCCTGTTTTTCTATACTAGCTTTTTTGGTTTTTTTTAAATTCTTTACCTTTGTTTTCTTTTCCTTCACTGGAGACTCAGTATTTAGGTTTTGACAGAGCAGGGGGGAAGGAGATGGTTAGAAAACAAAAAGGACCAAGATTCCAGTTCCATTTTTGATCTGGGGTGAACCCTGTTTCTCTCCTAGTTGACAATTAATTTGGTGGTGGTTAATCTGTAAAATGAGAAGATGTCTCTGATCCAATTAGCTAACCATCCATTTTACCATTCTGCACATTTCTGTGTGGAATATGCCGCTATCTCAGCCCTGTGTCTAACAGAGGCGGCAAACGTGTTCGTAGTGGAGGGACGGTAGGCATGTGCTGTAGGTATCAGAGGAATGAAAAGAGGCTTCTGTGAGTAGCAAACAACAAAAGTAAAACCAACACCCCTCCTTGAAGTGTGGAAATCTCTCCTTTGTTTTGTAGCAACTAAAACCACCCCAGCTACATAAACCCAAAGGTAATGCTATCTTATTTCCCACCCTATTCTCACCTCCAACTCCAGTTCCCAGTGTTAATAGTGTAGAAGGTTTCGTCTGCAAATTTCTCTTATAAAAGCATACAAACAGGGACTTCCCTGGTGGTGCAGTGGTTAAGAATCCACCTGCCAATGCTGGGGACACGAGTTCGAGCCCTGGTCCTGGAAGATCCCACATGCCGCGGAGCAACTAAGCCCGTGTGCCACAACTACTGAGCCTGCACTCTAGAGCCTGCGTGCCACAACTACTGAGCCCGCGTGCCACAACTACTGAAGACTGCGTGCCTAGAGCCCGTGCTCCACAACAAGAGAAGCCACCACAATGAGAAGCCCGCGCACCGCAACGAAGAGTAGCCCCCGCTTGCCGCAACTAGAGAAAGCCCGTGCGCAGCAACGAAGACCCAACACAGCCTAAAATAAATAAATTTAAAAATATATATATACAAACATACAGATTACACTTTTCCTCTAAAAAGGATCATACTGTGCACGTTGCTCTGCCTGCTGCTTCCTTCCTGACTTTATACATGTCAGCCACTACCTGCCTGGCTCCCTCCCTCCCTCCGAGCTCACCTCTCCTGTCACCTCCTCAGAGAGGTGTTTCCTGACCCTCCCCCCCCCCCCCCCCCCGTCACATCCTATTTCCCCCCCTGATTTTTTTTTTTCTTCCTATGTGCTCAGTGGTGTGTGCCCTTCCCCCCTTCCCCCCATTAGAATGTAATCTCCCTGTGAGCGGTGACTTTAGTTTGCTCTCTGCTGTATCCCTGGTGACTAGATGAGTGCCTGCACATAGTGGGTCCTCAGTAAATATCTGGTAAATGGACGAACCTGAATCCTCCTCTTCACTCGTTTCAGGAGTGCCGTGAGTGTGGATGAACCGTGACCTATCTAACCAAGCCCTTACTGATGGGCACGCAGGCTCTTCCAAGCTTTAGCCATTACAAGCAATGCCGCTTTGCCTGTGCTTTTGTAAGAAAGACGTCAGGGAATGGGATTGCTGGGTCCAAGGGCAGATGCGTTTTCGTTTTGAATAGAAGATGCCCAGTTACACTGTCAAAAGATTATTGCCATTCACACCCACCAGCAATGGCTAAAAGCATCTGTTTTCCCCCAGTTTTCTCTGTAGCAGGAGATTGTATCTTGTTTGTAGCAGGAGATTGTATCTTGTTGGAATTGGTATTTCCACGTAAATTACCGAGTTTGAATATTGTAACATAAAGTTTATTGGCCGTTTTCTGAATCGCCTGTTTATAACATTTTGCTAGTTTCCATTGGCTTCTCTGTCATCTTCTTATCAACTTGTAGCTGCCATTGATATTGAGCATATTAGTTCTTCATTTGTCATGTGTGGCTATTACCTTTCCCAGTCTACCTTTTGTCATTCAAGTTTATTATTCTTGTCATAGAAAGCTTTACATTTTTATATAGTCAGAACTGACTTTTAGGCCTCTGGATATCCCGTTTTGAGTAGGAAAGTTTCTCCTATTGAAGGCTAAAAGGTATTCTCTTGATTTTTTTTGATAATATTTTAATTTTTTAAGTAGTTAAGTCTCTTGTCCAGCTGGAATTTATATTAATATATGATAAGATATATAGTGATTTAGCTTTGTTCTTCCACATAGATGTCTGATTATGTTAACACTGTCCTTTAAATAAACCATCTTTCCCCCACTGAACTGAAGTTTAAATATACTTTGATTTAAATATACTAAATACATAATATATATATAAAAGTAGATATATATTACTTACACATATACTATATATATGTATATGTGTTTATGTATACACATATATAAAGTTGAATCTCTTTTTTAAAATTTATTTATTTTGGGCACGTTGGGTCTTCGTGGGCGTTTCTCTAGTTGCGGTGAGCAGGGGCTACTCTTCATTGCAGTGCACTTGCTTCTCGTTGCGGAGCACGAGCTCTAGGCGCACGGGCTTCAGTAGTTGTGGCTCGCAGGCTCTAGAGCGCAGGCTCAGCAGTTGTGACTCACGGGCTTAGTTGCTTAGTTGCTTTAGTCGTGGGTACTTCCCAGACCAGGGTTCGAACCCATGTCCCCTGCACTGGCAGGCGGATTCTTAACCACTGCGCCACCAGAGAAGTCCTGATAAAGTTAATCTATTTCTTGATTCTCTGTTTTTGTCCCCCTGACCTATTTGTCTATTATTATCTATTTCTTATATTCTTATATTTCTCTCTATATCTGTTTTATTGTGATACTTCTAGGTTAAGTTTTCAAATCTTATAAATTCCCTCTCACAAATCTACTTTTCCAAAATACTCTTGGTTACTCTCAAATATTATTGCATACGATTTTTTTAATGGTTTATTTCAATTAAACCTACCAGAATTCTGCATAAAGCTGGGCTTTTGAAAGAAACCCATCTGGCTGCACCACGGGAGGTAGACTGGAGCAAAGGGGAGGCGAGTGACAGGGAGACGGCTAAGCGGTGGTGCCAGTAATCTACGCAAGTCGAAACGGCATCTGAACAAGGGGTGGCAGGAGAGCAAGCCCCTTCCAAGACAGAATCAACGGGACTTTGACCTTTGGATGCGAAGTGTAAAGTCAGTCAGTCAAAGCTATTGGACTGGAGGACTGGGCAAAGTGTAAAATAAATCTACCAGAGTTAGGACTACAAGGCAAGAAGTAGGTCTGCAGGTGGACAGAAGGGAAGAAGATGTGTCCACTTGTAAATAGGTTGAGCTTGATGTATGAGGGCCATTGATGAGCAGACAGAAATTGGTGATGATGATACAAATCATTTGGGTAATTTTAAAATATTTTAAAGAGGTTTTCAAATAAAGTTCTAGAGCCTTTCACACATACTGAAGTGCTTACTTTCTTCTTTTTTTTTTTCCTTCCTTTCTTATGAGGCCTTACTTTTTTCTGACTCATTCTTACTTTGGGCATCTTGAGGGCAGGTTATTGTAAAGAAGCACAGAATTAAGGTATCCCTTCTTGAAGAGTAGAAATTTGTCCATATGTGGTAAAATGCCAGTTTTTGAAAATGTTTATTCCTCTTCAGTAGAAATATTTTTCTACAAATACTGTGCATGAATAGCTTTATAATATTTTTGCAAAGCTTGGTATTATTTTAAGGTCACTATAGTTTTCTCTTTATCATAAAACTGTTTATACTACTGAATCTAAATAATTTTAACTGTCAATATTACACATCAGTTTGTCTCAAGGTATTGGGTAGATAGGCTTATTCTCATGGCTTTTTCATTCATTTTTCTTTTCAGAACTTGATAGCCCAGAAGAGTTAGGGAAAAAGCGTATCTGCAGGATTATCACTAAGGATTTCCCCCAGTATTTCGCAGTGGTTTCACGGATTAAGCAGGAAAGCAATCAGATTGGCCCTGAAGGTGGAATTCTGAGCAGTACCACCGTGCCCCTCGTCCAAGCTTCTTTCCCAGAGGGTGCTTTAACCAAAAGAATTCGAGTGGGCCTCCAGGTAATGTTCACAAAAAGTTGTTCTCCTTGGTACGTGGAGAGAGCATGTGAGCATGTTCTGCTCTGAGAACTGTTGTCATGACTCATCCTTATGATATATTGCTAATCGAAGCATTTGGGCCATTTTGGGAATCATTAACCTGTTTTAAATAAAAAATATTACGTATAAAGTTAGCATACTGGCTTATAAAAAAAGGTACATATTTTAGGGTTTTTCTGTTTAGATGTATCACTTGGTTTCTGATGAAAGATCATTTTTTTTAACCATAGGTTATTGGTCTCAGTATGTGGAGCAACAAAGCACCAAACAGCACATATACCATTAAAGAAACAAAATATATTTGATTTGGTTTATAATATGCCACATCATAAAAAATCTATAATAGTGAAACTTGCAAGCTTTCAGATTTTAGTTCAAGTAAATCAAAAATGCTGGGTTTTAACCAAACCAGTTGGAACTTGTTTTGGTTTGGAAAGCTGGCTGAAAATCTTGGCAAGAATGGTCTTTCTTCCATCTATTCATTTCTGTTAGAACTTAACCAGTACTTTTTTTTCTTATTGAATAAAGAAAATAACCTGAAATAACTTAATTTGTGTTGTTAACTTAATTTAGTAATTAATAGTTTAACTGAAAGTTCAGTAAACATTTGGAGCTAAAGATACCACCTTACATTTCAGTAGTATGAAGTTCCCTGCAACTGTCTCCCACATTGAATGTTCTACCAAATTGCAAAGAAATGAAAAGAATTGTTAGACTAGAACTGATATCCTTTGAAATCTTGTACGCCTTTTTGTTACTTAACTCTAGAAACCTCAATAAAAATTGAGGGTACAAGTTGCCTTTGTAATGTTTTACTGAACGCCCTGCATAGATCTGAAAACTATTGGACTCAATATTTGTTGTCCTTTGGATTAGACTGAGAGGTTTCTCTGCCATGAGATCTGACATCCTGTCTCTCATGCAAGCCCATGCCGTCTGTGTTCTACTGGGGACATACTCTAGCTGTAGGTCCTGCTACAGTGTTAGGTTGTTTTTGTTTTTGCTTTATGCCTTTCTGAAATAGTGAGAAAGGATGAAAAAGAACTTTTTTTTGCCCCATAAAATTTTTAAAAAGATTTCTTTAAAATAACAAAATTTCTGGAAAGTTATGTTCTCTTCCATTTCCAAATACCAATAAACATATTAAAATGTTAAACTTGACTCAATAAAATATCTAACATAAAAAAAGACTGAAACTACCAAGTGTTGGCAAATACATAGAACCAGGACACTCACATCTGCTGATGAGAATAAAAACTGGTACCGCAACGAGCATTTTGGAAAACATTTTGGCAATTATGTCATAATGGTGGTCGTATGTGTACCAGATAGCAATTTGGCTCTTAGATATATAACTACCAGAAACGCATGCATGTGGCCATCAGAAGGCATACACAAGAATGTTAATAGCAGAAGAAAGACATTTTTTGGGTGGTTGTTTTTGGTTTTTTTCTCCTCAGTTAAAAAATCCACTTTCTGATAAGAGCAAAATGTCCACTTTCACGTAAGGGCCTTTCTCTCATCTCTAGGCCCAGCCTGTTCCAGATGAAACTGTGAAAAAGATCCTTGGAAACAAAGCAACATTTAGCCCAATTGTCACTGTGGAACCCAGAAGAAGGAAATTCCATAAGCCTATCACAATGACCATTCCAGTGCCCCCGGCCTCCGGAGAAGGTGTCTCCAATGGGTACAAGGGAGACACCACACCCAATCTGCGCCTTCTCTGTAGCATTACAGGTTTGGTTAAGTTGTTGCTGTTTTTGCTATTAATGCTATAGCATTCGCAATGATTCTGTACAAAGATGGAAAACCTTTGAACATCCCTGCCAACATTATAAGCGTAGAAAAAAAAAAAGAATAAAGCATTTTACTTGTCCATCACCTCATCTCTATTATCCCTGTAATTATTTCTTTAAGATGCTGATAGCATGACATTTTTCAGTGGTATCATTTTTCCTATTAAGTTCAGTGTTAATAGTAGTGCTTTTTTAAGGTGATTGAGGTATTATTGAATCTACTGGAGCATCTAGGTAATCTCTCGGTGACTGAGGTAACAGACCTAGCACCACCCTTTAGGCTATGGGAAATTGGATGGACTTTGGGGGAAACAGAGGCTCCCACAGAGTGCCAGGAGTAGGGAAGAGCCAAGCGAGTATATGATTCTTCTCACCTACTCTATTCACAAGTGTAATCCAGTAGACTAAATATGCAGGACTTAGGTGAACACATTTTGTGATAAGCACCCGGAGTCCAGAGCTAATTCATCATTTGATTAACCTAACATGAGTTTATAACTTAAAGATAGGTTTTCCTGTTTGTTTGTTTTTTCTAAAGAGTACTTTTAATGGCTGGTTCCCCTTTTAGCCTGGAAAGTTAAATGATTCAGGAAGTATAAAATGACTTTCATTTTAACTTTCCTGATAGTTCTTGACTTTTTTAAAAAATAAAAGAATGGGCTTCCCTGGTGGCGCAGTGGTTGAGTGTCCGCCTGCCGATGCAGGGGACACGGGTTCGTGCCCTGGTCCGGGAGGATCCCACATGCCGTGGAGCGGCTGGGCCCGTGAGCCATGGCCGCTGAGCCTGCGCGTCCAGAGCCTGTGCTCTGCAACGGGAGAGGCCACAGCAGTGAGAGGCCCGCGTACCGCCAAAATAAAAAATAATAAAATAATAATAATAAATAAAAAATAAAAGAATTATACTATCTGCAACAACAAATCTTTGCACATGTAAATTGTGGCTTAAAATGAATGGCTTAAACTTGTGTGCCCCGAGTTTAAGCCATTCATTAGTATGCAGACAAACAGAAAGGTGATTTTTTTCCTAACCTAATATTATCTTACAAGGAGGTCACCATAGGCTGGTAAAAGTATGAAAGGAGAGGAGAGAGGAGAACTATCTTTCGTACGTGTCATTAATGAAAGTGCTGAAGTTTTGCGAGTTACTGGCTATACAGAAAGAACAGGATGACGTTAAAAATTTTACAAGGAGCATCTCCCATAATAAAGTCACATATCTGGTGTTGTTCTCTCAGGGGGCACATCGCCTGCTCAGTGGGAAGACATCACAGGAACTACTCCTTTGACGTTTATAAAGGATTGTGTCTCTTTTACAACCAATGTTTCTGCCAGGTATGGAAATAAAAGGATTCCAAAAAGTACTAGGAATTATTTTTATTACCTTTTGGAAAGTAAAAATTGTTGTGCTTAAAACCAGTGTGATTGTTCTGTAAAATGCTGATGGTGAAGTTGGGCCTAACTCAGAAATTTTAAATTCACTTGGATGTCATTTTATCCGGTTCTCACAGGGAGCCTATAAGGTAGTAAACTTGCTTCTTAGCAATTCGTAAAAACGGATAGGATCTTCCTTTCTCTCCCATTTTCCCCCATAAAATTCTTGTTCCTTCCAAAGGTGAAGTAATAAACTCTGAAGCAGGAGTAGAAAGGAAGGCTTGTCGTGGGTATGTGTAAGAGGGGAAAAAGAATTTTATGGAAAAGAAAATAGAGGAGAAAAATCCTTAGCATTTTCTTAGCAAAAGCATAACAAATAATAAATGTAGGGTTTCTGTATTTGAGAAACAGAGTAAATATCTTTGCTGTTTGTTCAAATGAACAAGTTAATGTTTTGGTTTAGTTCCTTTATATACTCTTTGTTTTAATGGTGATTTGGCTTTTTAAGATTTGGCTTTGAAATCTCCTTATTTTTATACTTTTGATATTTTGTTTTTGTCTCCCTCAGATTTTGGCTTGCAGACTGCCATCAAGTTTTAGAAACTGTGGGGTTAGCCACACAACTGTACAGAGAATTAATATGTGTTCCGTATATGGCCAAGTTTGTTGTTTTTGCCAAAATGAATGATCCTGTAGAATCGTCTCTGCGATGTTTCTGCATGACAGATGATAAAGTGGACAAAACTTTAGAGCAGCAAGAGAATTTTGAGGAAGTTGCAAGAAGCAAAGATATTGAGGTACCTTGTTTACAGCAAGTGCTGTAAACAGTTACAGCGCTTTCAGTTACATTCTCCAGACATTGAGTTTTCTTTTGAGGTCCTAATACAGCATGTACTATAAATATCAAATACATTATTGATTTTAGTTTTGGTTTTAAAATGTGATACAGATTCACTCTCAAATGATTTTAAATGTCTTCGAGGTTATCTTAGTTGGTTAAAATGTAGTACCAACGAATCTAGGTCATGGTTGCGATTTTCCTGTGGCCACTTGAGTTATTTTCATGTTCACTGTCTAGACACATCACCATGATTTTCCTTTTTCAATCACTGGATAAGTATCTAAGAGTCCAAAAAAACTTTCAAACTCTATGGGTAAGTGGTTGATATCAGGCACTTTCTCAAATATGTTTAAAGTTGGTAGAATAGAAATAAATCTATATTTATATTTGGTAGAAGAGAAATAAAGCTATAATTCTGTCTTGTACATGTCCATGTTGCAGTTTCCAATCGCAGTTACTAATTGTGAACCGATAGAGTTATTTTTGTGGCAAATAGCACCACCAGAAGTAATTTCCCAATTACAAGACAAATGTGACATAGAAACATGTCGGTCTTTTAAGGTTATATGACTTAAAATCTCAGAATTCTTTCCATTTACCATTAAATTATGTATTTCTTTTACTCCAAAAGGTTCTGGAAGGAAAGCCTATTTATGTTGATTGTTATGGAAACCTGGCCGCACTTACCAAAGGAGGACAGCAACTTGTTTTTAACTTTTATGCTTTCAAAGAAAATAGACTGCCATTTTCCATCAAGGTAAATCACCTTCAAGAGAGACTCTGTGGATTTTTTTTTAAATGCTCTTAAAGAATAAAAAAGATTCTAATGATTTATTCAGTTGGAAATACCCCACCAAACTTAAATTCATAGGAACAAAGTCAGATTTTTGTCCTAGTTCTACCTGAGTGTACTTTAGAGCCAGGAAAGCTTTATAATTAGTAAAAAGAGTCTCTACCTTTTAAACAGCTAAATGATCATTTATATGTAGGCAAATGTTTGCGAGACCAAGCAATCTAGAATAACAAAATGCATCATATCTGGACTGCTCCGTAATCAAATAATGGATGAAATCCAAATTGATTGTTCAAGTTTCATCTTTATTTCTGGTGGAACCTGGGGACATTCTGGAGAGACCATCTTCCTCCTCAGAGAACCAGAGGACACAGGAGAATTGTTTTATTGTTATTACTATTTGCTGCTGTTATGGTTGCTAACACTGAGGCTTTGAAAAAAAAGAAATTATTAGACAGGAAGAAAATACATATAACTCAGACTATACACTGGATTGTCAGGATGAGACCAGCAGACATAACATTCCTGTGTTTAGACTAGGAATTGGGCATTCTAAATCTTGCCAAGTTTAAATGTGACCATGTCGGCTGACATGTAATCGTTATCACCTTTTCCCTTTACTATTCCTGGTTCTCGAAGGGCTCCATAAAACAAACACGCTTTTAACTCTTGTGCAGATGGGCCATCCTCAGAAAAGAGTCTCTTTCTATAACTGTCAACTACCTAAATTCTTCTAGATTAGAGACACCAGCCAAGAGCCCTGTGGTCGTCTGTCTTTTCTGAAAGAACCAAAGACAACAAAAGGACTGCCTCAAACAGCTGTTTGCAACTTAAACATCACTCTGCCTGCACATAAAAAGGTATCTTTTAATACTGGTTTATTTTAACTTTCTTTCCCTGGCCTTGAAGAAGTGGGCCCTTGGTATGCAATTAAGGAATGCTTTGTAACATGATTAAAGCTCTTGAAACTCAAGTTTTATTAGTCTCTTTGTGTAGACTGACTAAGTCTTGTGACTGTGGTGTCAGATTCTTATGGTTTGTACGATGGAGTCCTCTGTTTATTGCTTCTGCTTCTGCTGGTAGTTCATAGATTTTGTTTGTTTTCAAATAATGTCACACATTAATTTGCCATGGATGTATAGCTTTGATATTTTTTGTTGGCTTCTTTTGGTTTGCTTTGCTTTCTAAAGCAGCTTGCATTTTGTGCTCCCTACTCAGTCCTTTTCATATCCTGATATTCTTTTCCCTGCTGTCCATTATAATATTCCTTGTCTCTGCAATGCATCTTGGAACCAAAAGGAGACAGAGTCAGATCAAGAGGATGAGGTAATATGAACACTTCTGCTTTTACTCTATCAGAGATAGAATAGGAATGGAATCTGTATAAAAGAAGTTGCAGAGGGCTGAAGTGTGGGAAATGTATTATATTTTTGCAGATCTTAGCTTAAATGAGGTAAAGCATACTTTTCCTTAAAGAATAATTTACTCTTCCACATGTACAGAAGAGTACTTTAGTACAATCAATAGAATTAAAATCCAGCTAATGACTTAAAAAGAGGAAAGTTCTTTAAGCATTTCTTAAATGTGATAGATTGGCATGGGTAAATATACATTTGTGCATATTTTCACGTAGTATCCACTGTTATAACTTTTAAATCTAAGATGATGATAATATATGACATTTTACATGTTTTATGTACTATAAAATATGCGCTCAGTGGCTATTGACAAATATTTGATATTCTATTTAAAGAAATTTATCTTGGCCATTTTTTAAGAGTATAATTGTTCAATTAAGTTTTAAATAAATTTTTTCTTGTAAGTTATCTCCTAGTATTTCTCCAAGTTATCAGATCACTGGATTTTTAAAACTCACACCTCAGTAATAATAAATAGAATCAGTAGCCTTAAGACTCAGTAACATTACTTCAGTAAAACCATTAACCTCTTTTTAATCTCCTCGTCTACATTTTACGCCTATTAACATATAGAAACAACAGCAGTAATCATAATAATAAACTTTGTGTGCCTTTTTTTCTTTGAATGTACTCACAACGAGTGAGTGTACATCATGATATATGTGCTTTCAATACGAACAAATTTGGGAAAATTTACTGCTCAGCATCAGAAGTCTCTGTAATGCTTGTCTTTTATTTGTAGTTCCCTGTAGTCTGCTGTGTTGGTGCTCTTATATTTTGCTAAATGATGGTTATTTGGCTAAGAATTGGGGTGGGGTTGTAGAACCACAGTAGGAAATTAGCATTTCCCTGAGGAAAATCCGTAAGAAGAAAAATAAGGATAAACAAGATATCAACATGCCATTCTACAGAATGTTTCAAAATGATGAAAATGTCACAAGGAAGTGGAACATAATCTTCCTCTTTTTTTTCTTTTCCAGAACGAGAAAACGGATAGACGACAGAGCTTTGCATCCTTGGCTTTACGTAAGCGCTACAGCTACTTGACTGAGCCTGGAATGAGTGAGTTTCCTAACACACTTACTAATCTATGTGGATTTTTATAAGAAGAGACATTTTTTCTATACTAACTGAACTTTGGGGTCATGTGAAAACCCAATGGCAGAAGAAAATTGCCTGTGGGAAAACTTTATCATGAGATCTAAGTAATATATTGTATATAGTTGGAGATGTGAGGTACAAACACCCCCAGATCGTAGCTTTAAAAGTGTTTTTAAGCCAGTAGCTTTTTTTTTTTTTTTAATTAGAAACATCTATCACTTGAATACGAAAACCTTGATTTCACCTTGGTAGTTAACTGTGTTAGGAGATAATGTTGTACCAAGGTTGCTTTAAATCTGTGCTCAAAAGAGAAAATATTTACTTTCATCCATGTGGGACGGTATAAAGGATGATAAAGTAACTCTGGTCATCTCATTTTTCTTAATATAGGTAGGTCATTATATCTTAGTCCTGATTCCTTTTTGTCCCAGTTGGCAAGAATTATATTTTCCTACCTTCTTGAGATAGCACTTGTTTACCGATTGCTGTTTCTTCCCTCCCTCCCTCTCTCTCCCCTTCCCTCTGCTCTTTATTAAATATCAGCTCTACGGCTGGCCTTCAGGAGACGGGTTAAACCCTTTTCTTCTCTCAGTGATTGTTTTGGTCCATTGTTAACTGGCTTGCAAGTATCGAGGCATAGGTTCATTCAGTCATATTCGTTCGTTCTCTCTGTCTCCCTCCCCCGCTCCCTGTGTTTCCCTCATCCTTGTGTTTATCGCCTCTGGTGATCCCTGCCTTCAAGATAACCCTCCCCACCAACGGGCACTAAGAGCGCTGAGAGCAGCCGTGTGTTTGACCGATGGAGCATGGTGCCACTTGAACCATCAGAGGAGGATTTATACAAAAATTATTTTTAAATTAGTGACTCATTTCTAGCTGCTTTCCATTACTCACAGTTACTTGAATTCAGGGAGGATTGGAAATTTACCAGTAAGAACCACAGCTCTGGTTTTTCCCATCTTTCCTGAATTCTTGTTTCTGTGGGCCAACATAGCATATTAAATGTGCAGCAGGAAACTACTCTACTGCTTCGCTCGGGTGGTCTTCGCATAATCTTTTGCAGTCTAGCTCCCGGAGTACATACTAGGGAAGCTTTTATATTCAGACACAAAGTGGGGCGCATAAGAGAAAGGAAACCCAACCACTCTCATGAATGTTCTTCCAGATCTCTTTTTTTCCTCTAGCATAAATGTCTAAATCTTTCCAAAACCATAAGGGCTGAAATTAACTCCCATTATGCTACAAAGCAGGGAACGTATGTGTGTATGTAACTAGATGGTTTTTCAATACAACTGAGTCTCCTGGGTGGAAGTTTTCCTTGGGATGCTCTTTTGCCCCAAAGCTAAGGTTCTCATGGTGTAGATGCTTGGCACTCCCAGGCAGTAGCCTTGAGCTTTGGACAGTCTCCATGGACCAGCTACTTGAGGTTGGGGTACCTCTGGGCAGGCAAGCTCCTATCCGATTTTGGTCCCTAAGGTATTTGTTTGGGGAATATATGAGTTGTAAGGTCAGGTGTGTGTGCTGAGACAATTGAATTTTTCCCACCTCTGAAAGGGTTGCTACTTCTTGGTTAGCTTCAGTTAAGGTAAATGTAGTTTGTCTTCCTTAACTTTTGATAGAAGGAAGAGGGTACTTTTCTCTCTGTTTTACGAGAGGGAGCATAATGGTGGACAGAAGAATGGGAAGAACTAAGAAAGGACTAAAAGAAAACCTAAGGAAATGTTATGGCCCCTGAATTGGTGTTAGAACTCCAAGAGAAAGCAGCTTTTCCTGTACTACACTGTCCTTTCCAACGCCCCCCTCCAGAAGAAAGATTCTGCTGTAATTCAGTGCCTGACACCCAGAATTCCCTTTGTTATAAAGGGCATCACAAAATATGTATCATTAAAGCATAAAATATGTAACTAATCAGTAAATTGGTTGCTTCGTGCAAAGTATAAAACCCTAGATGTGGTTCAGAAGACTGCTCTGCTTGGTGAAGCCAGACATCAGTGGTGAAGGAGAGATGCTTTGCCGGTTTCTGGTAGTTATAAAAATAAGTTCTCTTGAGCCATTAAACGGAGCCCAAATCACTGAATTGAAGGAATCCCCAAACCTTCCATTTGCAGTGTGGTGTTTCCAAAATTAAGCCAATATGGAGAATTGTGACTAGGAGGGGTAATGAATGGGTGAGTTTTTTCCTTAGTTCTTCCACTTTTCTTTAGAATAATATGTAAGCCTAGAAAAGGATATGTTCTGAATGTTTGAATTTAAATGTACACCAGGAATGAAAATCTTCACCCTTGTGGGAGTCGCTGTTAATCCAAGGACTGGATTGTAGCAATGGCACGAGCACAGCATGAAGAGCGTAAAGATGAAGCAGATTCTCATTTCCTCTTCGAGTTTCACTCTTATTCTGAACACCAGTGCTTTCTGGAAGCGAAACTCTACTCAATTTTGACATAGAACGTTAGCCCTTGGCAGGCATTCCGAACCTCTGTGACCAGCTCAGTTTGTTTCCTAGAACTGTAGAAGTAGACAGGACTCAGTGTGTGCTTGCTCTCCCCCAGCGAGGGTGCTTACCTCATTCGTATGCTTCTTATTCCGTTGCCAGAAGAATGCTGGTACTAAATCCATCCTTCCTGGTGGTAGGTCTGCCTCATGGTTGTGCCAGTGTTTGGGGTATCCATGAGTCCCATGAATATTCTGGGAAGGAACCAGAATTGGTCCCTTTGCTATCGATAAAATATATACACGGATATATACCGTATCCTACTGTAGAGAGTTAAATACAGGGTGTTAAAAATATGACTGCTTTTAAGATTTCCACCATGATACCTTTTGAGAATTAGAAGTAAATGGATTAGGAAAAATATCTGAGATAAACTATGTGCTTTTATCCGTAATGAAGACAACACCAGACATGGATATAGTCAGTTGCAGATGGATTTTTCATATGCAGTATTAAATATTTTCCTAAAAAAATCTCAAGAGGGGACTTCCCTGGCGGTCCTGTGGTTAAAAGACTCTGCACTTCCACTTCACGGGGCACGAGTTTGATCCCTGGTCAGGGAACTAAAGATCCCACAAGTTGCAAGGGGCGGCCAAAAAAAAAAAAAAAAAAAAAAATCTCAAAAGGTACCAAGACTTCACATCTCATGGAAAAAGTGTACTCTTCTTTCTAAATACTCTTGTGAAAGTGTTTTTAAAGTTTACACATTGTGCATAATATGGCATAAAAATTGTATTACTTCTTTGGCTCGTTTGCCATGATATATCGCGCATGAGAAAATGTTTTCAGTTGCTTTGCTTGCTTATGGTAACCATGAACCATATTTCTGGTTTTTTTCCCCCCTTTGTGTGTGCGTACACATGCATTCTAAAATCATTTCATGTTACGTTCCTTTTTTCCTCACCAAAAGGAATATACTGCATGGAAAAGATAAATGCAAACATTCCTTTTGTTTTTTTTTTTTTTTTTTAAAATTCTGACTCAGAAAACTTCTTGCTCTTATTGGCTTTTTACGGGTATGAAGCATAACCGAGTTGTGCATGGAAGATACAAACTTAAAATCCAGTGGCTTCACAGTTTGCACATCAGTTGCCTGTCACTTAAAAGTTATTTTGGATTCTGCATGAAATAGGCTTGAGTGGTTTTCTAAAATAAGAGTTTTAGACATTTCATGTATAGCTACACACACTGATATGGTTCTAAGTAGGTGCAATCTGTATCACCAAGAGGTCCAAGGAGATGGAACATTAGAACTTACTAAAATGAGAGTTATATGGTTGCACGAAACAAACATGTACCTATACGGGCAAAACAGAACGGCTACTGATATTTCAAAACCAGCACATAAGAAAGTCAATAGGAAGTAAGGGAATAGTTTTTCCATTGTGGTTATTTTTCTCATCATCGTTTCCTTGTGTTTTTGTTTTTGTTTTGTTTTTTCACTGTTGGCCTATTTGGTTGCAACGTGCTTTTCCTGTCTTTTCATTTCACACTGCTCTGTGTTTTACTTAGTTTTATTTTTAACTTTGGATTAGTTATGTCTGTAGCAATTTTTTTTCCTCTTAATTGTTCCTTTTGCCTCTTCCATTCTAAATCATGCAAACAATTGTACTTGCTTTTGTAATATTTCAAAGTTTACTGACCAATTTTTTTCTCTGGTCTCTCTGTTTCTCAACCATTTTTGTTGATTTTTGTGTTTGATTTCATTTTAAAATTTAAGAAACAGTTGAACGGAGCGCAGGACCAACGAGATCCCTCCCCACCACTTACTCATACAAGCCATTCTTTTCTGCAAGAGCATACCAGTCCTGCACAGCAGCTCCGATGACAGTGCCCGGGCCGGCCACGTCAGGCTTCACTTCCTTATCAAGTTCCTCCTCTAATACGCCATCAGCTTCTCCATTAAAATCAATATGGTCTGTTTCGACTCCTTCTCCAATCAAATCCACGTTAGGCGCATCAACTACATCTTCGGTTAAATCCATTAGTGATGTGGCATCTCCAATTAGATCCTTTCGGACAATTTCTTCGCCAATAAAAACAGTGGTGTCACAGTCTCCATACAATATCCAAGTTTCCTCTGGTACCCTGGTTAGAGCTCCCACAGTCACGGAGGCCTCGCCTTTAAAGGGGCTGGCATCCAATTCTACATTTTCCTCTCGAACGTCCCCGGTGACTACAGCAGGATCTCTTTTGGAGAGGTCGTCCATTACCATGACACCCCCTGCTTCCCCCAAATCAAACATTAATATGTATTCCTCGAGTCTGCCATTTAAGTCAATTATCTCATCCACAGCACCGCTAATATCTTCACCTTTAATGTCAGTGGTGTCTCCAGCTAAATCAACAGCTGATATCATTTCATCAGCTAAAGTTACGATGGCCTCTTCTCTCTCATCACCCGTGAAACAGATGCCTGGACACGCAGAGGTAGCATTAGTCAACGGATCTATTTCCCCTCTGAAATATCCATCATCTTCAACTTTAATTAACGGATGCAAAGCCACTGCCACGTTACAGGAAAAAATTGCTACAGCTACACACTCTGTGAGCTCTGTGGTTAATGGAGCCACTGACGCAGTTGAGAAAGTGTTCCCGACCACCACAGCAATGCCGTTTTCCCCACTCAGGTCATATGTTTCTCCAGCACCATCAGCTTTTCAGTCTCTAAGAACTCCTTCTGCAAGTGCACTCTATACATCCCTCGGGTCGTCGATACCTGCAACTACCTCATCTGTAACTTCATCAATAATAACAGTGCCAGTATACTCTGTAGTCAATGTTTTGCCGGAACCAGCATTAAAGAAACTTCCAGACTCTAATTCACTTACAAAATCAGCAGCAGCCTTGCTGTCGCCCATTAAAACATTGACTACGGAGACACTTCCTCAGCCCCATTTCAATCGAACTTCATCTCCAGTTAAGTCATCTTTGTTCCTTGCACCATCTGCCCTCAAGCTGTCTACGCCATCTTCTCTGTCTTCCAGTCAGGAGATACTAAAAGACGTGGCTGAAATGAAGGAGGACCTAATGCGGATGACTGCAATACTCCAAACAGACGTGCCTGAGGAGAAGCCATTCCAACCTGAACTCCCCAAAGAAGGGAGAATCGACGATGAAGAACCTTTCAAAATTGTCGAGAAAGTGAAGGAAGACTTAGTGAAAGTTAGTGAAATCCTTAAAAAGGATGTCTGTGTGGATAATAAGGGACCACTCAAATCACCAAAGAGTGACAAAGGACATTCTCCCGAAGACGACTGGATAGAATTCAGTTCAGAAGAAATAAGAGAGGCAAGACAACAGGCTGCTGCGAGCCATTCTCCACCTCCGCCAGAGAGAGCGCAAGTTAAGGCAAAGGCTGCCTCCGAAAAGGATTATAACCTGACCCAAGTTATCGATTACCTAACAAATGATATCGGGAGTAGTTCACTGACGAACTTCAAGTACAAGTTTGAGGATGCCAAGAAGGATGGTGAAGAGAGACAGAAACGAATTTTAAAACCAGCAATCGCCCTGCAGGAACACAAACTCAAAATGCCTCCAGCCTCCATGAGGTCTTCCACCTCCGAGAAGGAGTTATGTAAGATGGCCGATTCCTTTTTTGGAACAGATACTATTTTAGAGTCTCCAGATGACTTTTCTCAACATGACCAAGATAAAAGTCCCTTGTCTGACAGTGGCTTTGAAACAAGAAGTGAGAAAACACCTTCAGCCCCACAAAGCGCTGAAAGCACTGGTCCCAAACCACTTTTTCAGGAAGTCCCCATCCCTCCGGTCATTACAGAAACGAGAACTGAAGTGGTTCATGTTATCAGGAGCTATGAGCCCTCAGCTGGAGAGGCTCCCCCGTCCCAACCAGAGGAGCCCATGTCACCCAAACCGTCACCTACGTTTATGGAGCTGGAACCAAAGCCCACCGCTTCTAGTATTAAAGAAAAAGTCAAAGCGTTTCAAATGAAAACCAGTAGCGAAGAAGACGACCACAGTCACGTTCTGGGCAAAGGCATGCGTGTTAAAGAAGAGACTCACATAACCACAACCACCAGAATGGTTTATCATTCTCCACCAGGCAGTGAAGGCGCCTCTGAGAGAATTGAAGAAACCATGTCAGTCCACGACATCATGAAGGCCTTTCAGTCCGGGCGAGACCCTTCCAAAGAGCTGGCAGGTCTGTTTGAACATAAGTCGGCAGTGTCCCCAGACGTTCACAAGTCTGCTGCTGAAACCTCAGCCCAGCACGCAGAGAAGGACAACCAAATGAAACCCAAACTGGAGCGTATAATAGAAGTCCACATTGAAAAAGGTAACCAAGCTGAGCCCACTGAAGTCATTATTAGAGAAACCAAAAAGCATCCCGAAAAGGAAATGTATGTATATCAGAAAGACTTATCCCGGGGAGATATTGACCTAAAAGATTTTCTGCCAGAAAGACACGATGCTTTTCCTTGTTCAGAGGAACAGGGTCAGCGAGAAGAAGAAGAACTCACTGCTGAAGAGTCGTTGCCTTCTTACCTGGAGTCTTCCAGAGTAAACACTCCCGTGTCCCAAGAAGAAGATAGTCGCCCTAGCTCTGCTCAGCTCATATCTGATGACTCTTATAAAACACTGAAGCTTTGGAGTCAGCACTCAATAGAATACCATGACGATGAGTTGTCAGAACTAAGAGGGGAATCTTACAGGTTTGCTGAGAAAATGCTTCTGTCAGAAAAGCTAGATGTGTCTCATTCTGATACCGAGGAATCAGTTACAGACCATGCGGGAGGACCCCCTAGCTCAGAGTTACAGGGGTCTGATAAGCGGGCCAGAGAGAAAGTAGTCACTGTCCCCAAAAAAGAAATTCTCTCCAAAATCTATAAAGATGTGTCTGAAAATGGTGTAGGTAAAGTGTCTAAGGATGAGCATTTTGATAAAGTGACAGTGTTGCACTATTCTGGCGATGTTAGTAGTCCAAAACATGCCATGTGGATGCGCTTTGCTGAGGACAGACTAGACAGAGGTAGAGAGAAGTTGATATACGAAGATAGGGTGGACAGGACCGTGAAGGAAGCTGAAGAAAAACTGACTGAAGTGTCACAGTTTTTTCGTGACAGAACCGAAAAGCTCAATGATGAACTGCAGTCCCCAGAGAAAAAGCCACACCCTAGGAATGGCAAAGAATACTCATCTCAAAGCTCTACCGGTAGCAGCCCTGAGAAAGCACTGCTGACAGAACTGCTGGCCAACAGTGACGAGTGGGTCAAGGCGAGGCAGCGTGGCTGTGACAGACAAGGCTTCCCCAGAGCCGACGAGAAGGACGCAGTCAGTCTGCCCAGCAGCCCGGAGGTGGTTCCTTCCCAACAGACTGAGGACAGCAAGTCCACAGAGGAAGCCAAAGGAAGTCGTTCACAGAGCAAAGAATCAGAAGGGCCCCAGTCTGGGTTTCAGCTCAAACAATCGAAACTCAGTTCCATTAGATTAAAATTTGAACAAGGCGCGCAGGCCAAAAGTAAGGACGTTTCTCAAGAAGACACAAAGCCAGATGGCCAATCCAGAATCCCAGTTAAAAAAATCCAGGAGAGCAAGCTACCTGTCTACCAAGTGTTCGCTAGAGAGAAACAGCAGAAGGCCATAGACCCTTTGGATGAAAGTGTCCCTGTGCAAAAAGATCTTACGGTATTCAGAGGTAAAGATGAGCATGCCCAGAGCCATGAAATGGTTGTAAATGATTTTGGCTCTGATGATGTGAAAAAACAGAGAACTGAAATCTCAAGTAAAGCAATGCCTGACTATTTTTCTGAGCAACAGCATAAGGACTTGGCATGTCACGTAACCGCAGAATTAGCAACCAAGGGACCATGGGACAAAAAGGTCTTTAGAACGTGGGAAAGTCCTGGAGCCACTAACAATAAGTCGCAGAAAGAGAAACTTTCGCATGTGCTTGTTCACGATGTAAGAGAGAATCACGTTGGTCACCCTGAGAGTAAAACTGTTGATCAGAGGGATGAATTTTTGTCTGTGACTGAGAGAGAACACAAATTGTTAACAAATGGCTCTCTCTCAGAAATTAAGGAAATGACTGTAAAATCTCCCTCCAAAAAAGTCTTATACAGGGAATACGGTGTTAAAGACGGGGAACATCCAGGTGGATCTCTTGACCAACCTTCCAGGAGAAGTGAGAGCTCGGCAGTGTCGCACATCCCAGTCAGGGCTGCGGAGGAAAGGAGGACGCCGTCTTCTGACATTCCCGATGGTTTTTGCAAGCAGTCGACATTTCCAAAACATGAACTATCACAAAAGTTACCCCACTCAAGTATGAGTAAAGAGACAGTTGAGACACAGCACCTTAATGCTACAGAAGATGAAAAAGTTACCTATTCAGAAATCAGCAAAGTTTCCAAACGTCAGAGTTACGTAGGCTTATGCCCGCCTCTCGATGAAACCGAGCTCTCCCCGACCAAGTCTCCTGATTCTCTAGAGTTTAGCCCAGGAAAGGAATCGCCCTCTAGTGATGTACTCGACCACAGTCCCATTGATGGATTGGAAAAAGTTGCACCACTGGCCCAGACGGAGGGAGGGAAAGAGATAAAAACTTTACCTGTTTATGTCAGTTTTGTAGAGGTGGGGAAGCAGTATGAAAAGGAGATACAACAAGGAGGTGTAAAAAAAATCATAAGTCAGGAATGTAAGACGGTACAAGAGACCAGGGGGACCTTTTATACAACTAGACAGCAAAAGCAACCCCCTTCTCCCCAGGCTAGTCCAGAAGATGATACTCTAGAGCAAGTGTCCTTTCTAGACAGCTCTGGGAAAAGCCCTTTAACCCCAGAGACGCCCAGTTCAGAGGAAGTGAGTTATGAATTTACATCTAAGACACCCGACTCGCTTATAGCTTATATACCAGGCAAACCCAGCCCAATTCCCGAGGTTTCGGAGGAATCTGAGGAGGAGGGACAGGCCAGGTCAGCCTCCTTACAGCAGACTGCAGTGGAGGAGACGGCAGCAGTCGGGCGCCACACACCTAGCAGTGTGAGCACAGACTCTAACCAAAGACTCAGAGCTAACAGAGTTGCCTACATTGAATTTCCCCCTCCTCCACCGCTGGATGCAGACCAGATGGAGTCCGATAAGAAACATCCTTACCTCCCTGAAAGAGAGGTCGACATGATTGAAGTCAGTCTGCAAGACGAGCATGACAAGTACCGACTGGCGGAACCGGTCATCAGGGTGCAGCCGCCTTCCCCAGTTCCTCCTGGGGCGGACATCAGTGACTCCAGCGATGACGAATCCCTTTATCAACCAGTCCCGGTCAAAAAATACACCTTCAAGTTAAAGGAGGTCGACGACGAACAAAAAGAAGTGACAAAATCCAAAGCCTCCGCTGAAAAGGCTTCCACCCAGAAAGAATCAGAAATGAATGGATCTGGAAAAGATACTGAATTTGGCCTTGGCCTTGATTCACCTCAGAATGAAACGGCCCAGAATGGGAACAACGACCAGTCCATCACAGAGTGTTCCATTGCCACCACGGCAGAGTTTTCTCACGATACAGATGCCACAGAGATCGACTCTCTGGACGGCTACGACCTGCAAGACGAAGATGACGGCTTGACAGAGAGTGATTCTAAATTCCCAAGTCAAACCCTGGAGCTGAAGAAAGATGTCTGGAACACGGAGGGCATTCTGAAGCCAGCTGATCGCTCCTTTAGCCAAAGCAAGTTGGAAGTTATCCAGGAGGAGGAGGGAAGGGTGGGGCCAGATGAAGAGAAGCCACCTTCCAAAAGCCCTTCATCTGAAAAGACTCCCGCTAAGACTGATCAGAAGTCGGGGGCCCAGTTTTTCACACTAGAAGGCAGACATCCTGACAGATCAGTGTTTCCTGATACTTATTTCAGTTACAAAGTAGATGAAGAATTTGCCACTCCTTTTAAGACAGTAGCTACCAAAGGTCTAGATTTTGACCCCTGGTCTAATAACCGAGGGGATGATGACGTTTATGACAGTAAATCACGGGAAGATGAAACTAAGCCATTTGGTCTGGCTGTGGAAGACCGCTCTCCAGCCACCACCCCTGATACAACGCCAGCCCGAACGCCAACTGACGAAAGTACCCCTACTAGTGAGCCTAACCCCTTCCCATTTCATGAAGGAAAAATGTTTGAGATGACTCGCAGTGGTGCAATTGACATGAGCAAGAGGGATTTTGTGGAAGAGAGGCTCCAATTTTTCCAGATTGGTGAGCATACTTCTGAAGGGAAGTCAGGGGACCCGGGGGAAGGGGATAAAAGTACAGTCACTGCCATACCACAGCCACAGGCAGGGGACACCACTGTAGAAACCAATCTAGAGGGAAATGTAGAGGCACCTCCAGTGGAACCTAACCCCAGCATCCCGACCAGCGGAGAGTGTCAGGAAGGCACATCCGGTAGTGGCTCCCAGGAGAAAGCAGCAGCAGCGGCCACTAACGCCTCTAAACTTGACCCCAAGTTGCGCACGCCTATAAAAATGGGAATTTCTGCGTCCACCATGACCTTGAAGAAAGAAGGCCCTGGAGAAGTGACAGATAAGATAGAAGCTGTGATGACCAGTGGTCAGGGATTAGAGAATGAACCTGTAACAGTGATTTCAAATACAGCCGATAGCCACATGGGCGTTAGGCCCCAAGAAAAACATGATTTTCAAAAAGATAACTTTAATAACAACAACAATTTGGATTCTTCCACTATACAGACAGATAACATTACAAGTCACGTAGTTCTGACAGAACATTCTGCACCCACTTGTACCACAGAGAAAGCTAATCCAGTGAAAAGCTCATCAGGAAAAAGGACAGGGGTACTGCAAGGACATTGTGTGAGAGAGAAACAGAAAGTTCTTGGAGAGCAGCAAAAGACAAAGGAATCAATAGGGATTAGGCGAAAATCCAAACTTCCCATAAAGGCCACTTCACCAAAAGATCTCTTCCCACCAGATCATATGCCAAACATTCATGTGAGTAAAATGAAGCAGGTTAGTCAATCTGAGAAAACCAAAACCCTTACTGCTTCTTCACGTGTAGATGTAAAGTCCAGAATTCCAGTGAAGAATACACACAGGGAAAACACAGGTTCAGTTAGAAAACCGTGTGCTACACAAAAGCAGGGGCAGCCAGACAGAGGCAAGGCCAAACAGCTTCCATCCAAGTTGCCAGTAAAGGTAAGATCCACCTGTGTCACCACCGTCACCACCACCACCACCACCACAGTTAAAGTTAGGAAAAGTCAGCTTAAGGAAGTATGTAAACACTCCATTGAATATTTTAAGGGAATTAGTGGTGAGACCTTAAAGCTTGTGGACCGCCTCTTGGAAGAAGACAAAAAGATGCAGTCCGAGTTGTCTGATGAGGAAGACAGTACCTCAAGAAACACGTCGTTGTCCGAGACTTCCCGGGGTGGCCAGCCTTCGGTTACAGCGAAGTCTGCTAGAGATAAGAAAACAGAGGCAGCACCTTTAAAATCAAAGAGTGAAAAGGCCGGCAGTGAGAAATGGAGCAGTAGGAGGACTGGTGAGAATGAAGGCAGTCAGGTCTCTCGAGCACTCTTTGCTCACATCCTGGAGAACGAGCATAGTTTGTAAACACTTTCCAACTCGTAGACCCTAGTGCATGAACTGTTGTGATTGCCTGTGGAGTGACTTAACCGTAGTTTCTCATTCTGTCATTGTCATCTGTACGTGCTGTCTATATACTCTTCTTTCTTCCTCTTAACCCAACGACACTGTAGACAGCTAGGGAAGCATGCTGAAGATATCGGTGTCATTCAAGATGAGCAACTTTTTTTTTTTTCAGTGTGCTAATGGATATGATTCTGTCAAAGTAAAAGCACAGATGTTGAAATGCCATCGTGGTGTTTTCACCAACACGACACTTCTGTAACTACTGTAAAGTAGCTAGCTTGTCAGCATGTTGAATTCCATTACATTGAGCATCCATGTAGTCTGACATTTGGCCTGATGCAGGTGAAAATCAAGTGAGTCATGTGAAAAGAGAAGTGTTCATGTAGGTGATTAGGACACATTTAAGTGTACAGTGTTAGCAGTAGTCTCTCTGTAAAATCTGAATACTGCTAAAAGCAATTTTCCAGTATCGTGTCTTTCTTGATGATTATTTTAATTAAGAAATTGTAAATCGTAGGTCCACAGAGTCCATGTGAACGGACAGATATCAGGATGGCAATAGTAGCCGATCACCTGGGACTTAGTTGGACAGGTAAGTGTGTATACACCTGAATGAAACAAACAGTTTCTTAATTTGTCTTTTTCACAAGCAGTTTATCATTAAAAACAAAAAGCAATGAGTAAAATACATTTTTATCACTTGTAATTCTATCTACCCAGAGTTAATTATAGTATACTGTGTTTTTCAAAACTTTTCTATGCACATACCCTAAAGAATAGACATTTAAATCTTATTTTACCTTAAATTTAAGCACTTTCTTCACAATGCCATTTCTGGTAATATGGGATAACCTTTTACCTAATAGCAAATTTATTTTGTGGCATATAGGAAAACGTAGCTAAGGCCTATGGTTTTCAAATAATCCAAAAATTTTAGCTATGGTTTATGCCCTTAGATCAGCTCTCTTAGGCAATAGTTCAACTAATCCATGCCTAGGTTTCACAAGTCTTAATCATTCATGAGTCACTGTCACAATTTTTACGATATACACATTATTTGCATGCTTATTGAGCTGATACTTTTAAGCGGGCTCACTTTTACGCTCAAAGATTTATTTAAAAGGAACTCTTATGTCATTTTGATAATGGAAAACAAGGATCATGTTCAATAACTATATAAACAAGAAAACAAAGGATGAGAGTTAAGCTTAAATTTTAAATTAAAATTGAAAAAAATAGGATACAGGTGAATGAATCTATTCAATTTACAAAAATAGTTGAGCTCTGTGAAATGAATGAAACTTTTTATAATCAGGGTGTAGAAGAGGAATTTTTGGCTTGATTTCACTTCATTAAAGATGAAGATAAGGCTCTGTGTCAACTGGACAATACTGCTTTGTAGTTTTTTTTGTTTTTTTTGTTTTTTTTGCGGTATGCAGGCCTCTCACTGTTGTGGCCTCCCTCTCCCGTTGTGGAGCACAGGCTCCGGACGCGCAGGCTCAGCAGCCATGGCTCACGGGCCTAGCCGCTCCGAGGCATGTGGGATCCCCCCGGACCAGGGCACGAACCCGTATCCCCTGCATCGGCAGGCGGACTCTCAACCACTGCGCCACCAGGGAAGCCCCTGCTTTGTAGTTTTGATGTTAACTGGGCCCCCCAAATCCTACTTCACATGAATCAGAGAAATTTTAAGTTTTATAGGTTGAGTGTATTTTTTTTTAATGCACAGCCAAAAAACAACAGTTAAATATAAATAAATGTTAATTATTGTCCTATTTAAAGTCATCTTGCATACTATCAGCGACATACATTCTCTACTCAGGGAAACAATTATCTAGGCTATCAGAATGGACAACATGAAACTAGATCATGGCACAAAAGGTCATTTACATTTATTTCCTTCGAATGCCCTGAATCCCAGGCCTTCCCCACCCTCCGCATATAAAGGCCTCCTCTCTCCTTCTGCCCAGCCCTGCCCTCAGGCACACTGCTACTGACCTGGCCTAATGGAGCTCTTAAGAAACAGTGGGTCTGAGTAATCCCCTGCAGACTGTTGAGAGTTAACAGTAATTCATTATGTTTAAGTATTTCTGAACATAAAATTAATAATAGTATTATATTTTAACAGTGGACACTGTAACCTGAAAATATCCTGGAGCGAATGTTGATTTTGTGTATTATTTACCCATAACTATTAGATTATTTTCTTTAAGCAAAACCAGTCCTTAGTTTGTCAGAGTAAACTCTTGGAGAATATGTGACATAAGAACAGCGAGAGGGCTTCCCTGGTGGCGCAGTGGTTGAGAGTCCGCCTGCCGAAGCAGGGGACACGGGTTCGTGCCCCGGTCCGGGAAGATCCCACATGCCGCGGAGTGGCTGGGCCCGTGAGCCATGGCCGCTGAGCCTGCGCGTCCGGAGCCTGTGCTCCGCAGCGGGAGAGGCCACAGCAGTGAGAGGCCCGCGTACCGCAAAAAAAAAAGAATAGCGAGACAAAGTCATAAAACTGTAAAATTCTTAGTGACAATGAGTCTCTAGACAAAGGATATGGTTTGGTCACGAGGGCAGGAAGGATTACTGCCCTTAAAACACAAAGAGATAAGGCACTTAAAAAAAATTAACTTTTCTAATTCGAATTACTATATGCTCAATGAAGATTATTAGGAAAATTAGCATTTAGAAAAACAAAATTTAAATCCATCCCTCAGAACCGCTGTTAACAAGCAACTTAATGTACTTTGGTGGTTTTTTTTTAAAATAAAAAGCTTTTCAAATGTTATATACACAATGTAATTTTCTGCTTTTTTATTTACCTTCTGATCTTGGTTTTAATGGACAAATAACATCCAAGAGCCATACTTTACAATGGTGTTTTGCTGTTGGTCACAATGCACTTAGTGAGTCATGAAATCAATTCATGCTTTGTTTTTGTTTTTAAAAGGAAAAGAAAATGTCTGTCTATCACATATAGTAAGGTTATTTTGCTCCATAAAGATGTGGTTTCATTTATATAAGCATCATGATATACAATGTATTTCTAACTGTGGGCTGTGATCATGCCAGCCACTGCATTACATTGCCAGCCACTGTGGGCTGTGATCAATGCCAGCCACTGCATTACATTAATTAACTTCTCTCCTTTTGTTCAACACATGCTTTGTTTTCAATTTTTCAGTAGTACAAGCCTACAGTGAGCATTCATGTATGTAAATAATTGTGTACAACCCTATGTACTCTCACCATAGATTTCTAGGAGTGAAATCAGTTGGTCAAAGGATACAGACATTTTTGAGCCTCTGAATACATTTTGCCAAACTGCTGGAAATGGTTCTTAAGCAGGATAGAGTCGTCCAATTCCTTTTCCATGGATTTTTTTTCCCATTTCTTACTTTTTATAATCATTTAAGGTAATAAACACCTGACACATCTTTTTTAAATGTACAAAAAATATACAGTGAAAAGTAAGTCTCCTTCTCACCTTTGACTCCCAAGTTTAACTCTCCCAAGGCAACTACGCATATCATATGTATCCTTCCAAAGACACACTCTGCATTTACAAGATTGAGTGTATGGTTATATACACTTAGCTGGACAGAAAGCTTATCTCCCTTTTATTTTTTACACAAGTGACAGCATATCATAGACAATGATCTGGCTTGGAGTCATCATTTAACCTCCCAAGTGGCACTGATGAAACTTGAAGGCATATAGAATAGAGTATTATGTGAGTAAAAGATCTACTTCATGGAGGTTGCCGAGAGAAAACTCTACTGGCTCCTCTTGTGCCATGTTTATGAATTGTATATCCCTACGTATCTTGTATGAAGTTTGCTCAAATTGCAGACAGTAATTTGGCTGAGTTAAAAGAATCTAGCAACATCCTCTTTGAACAGAGCAAGAATCTTTATAAAATAATCTCCAAAGGGAATCTGATTATAACCAAGGAATTATCTTAGGAGAGATAAGTCACAGCCTGTATATTATCAGTATTTTCCTGTGAAATCAAGTATATAAAGATTAATGCCCAAGGCTGTACTTGGGTTTTACTATAAAATCCTTTCCTTTTTTGGGGGGGGGGGCAGTTGAGCATTACTTTTATGAAATATATGTGATAAAATTACAATATGAAATCTTAGTAACTCCTTTTCTTTTCCACAGAACTGGCAAGGGAACTGAATTTTTCAGTGGATGAAATCAATCAAATACGTGTGGAAAATCCAAATTCTTTAATTTCTCAAAGCTTCATGTTATTAAAAAAATGGGTTACCAGAGACGGAAAAAATGCTACAAGTATGCTGAAATTATATTACTTTAACTTGCAAAATTGCATATGTCTAATATTTCAGATAAGCCTACCGTTAATAAAATCACAGTGATCATAAAGTAATGGCAAGCCTTTTGAAGTTATACTTGTTTAATTTTGTGCGTCTTTAGGAAGCTTTTTAGGAAGCAAGTAGTGGGGGCTTTTTGGCATTTTGTCTATATTTGCATTTTTTGCATTTTTCTCTGTGACCATCAAAAATGAAAATATAATTCTAGCTGTTCAGTCATGGGGCGGTAGTGGGAAACAATGTGAAGTTACTGCTGTGGCCAGAAATGGATGTGCAGGGAGATAGATAATAGAGAAAAGGATAGGATCAAATCATTTTATCCATCCTGGTCTGTGATGGCAGAGAACTCCCCAGTATTCCTGGGTTTTGTGTGGTTTAGGTGGTGGTAGGGGAGTGGTGCTATACTGTGACAAGTGCCAACCCATAACGATGTGGAATCAGTTACTGGGGGTTTGCCTGGGTCGGCCTGACCTTAGTAAGTCATTAATGCTAAGCATCAAACGTAAGGGTGACCTATTCTGACAGTCTAACAGGAGAGGAATGTGTTTATTAGATCCCCTTATAACTAACGGGAGTCTCGCTGTCTTGAGGCCTATCTGCTCTGCGCCTTACAGAGACGGAACGAATGTGGCTGTCATCACACACGGCTTCACAAAATGATTCTTAAGACCCTAACGTATCTTCCCTGGAGCAGCGAGCTTTCTGAGCCCTCTGGGTAGTGAATATTGCAGAGGTGCAGTGAGGCGGGACTAAGACGCTAGGAGGGTCAAGAGAGCCATGCCTTTGTGTGGGTATTGTGATGACTTAGAAGAAAATCATTTAATTGGGTTTTCAACCTTTTTTTTGTCCCTCCTCTTTCAGCTGATGCCTTAACTGCGGTCTTGACAAAAATTAATCGAATAGATATAGTGACTCTGCTGGAAGGACCAATATTTGATTATGGAAATATCTCAGGCACCAGAAGTTTTGCAGATGAGAACAATGTTTTCCATGACCCTGTGGATGGTAACTGAACTTAGTGTTCACATTTACTTAATCATTTGATAAAATTTGAAAGTGCAGTAGGACAAGGCAGTCACGTAAAACCAACTAAATTATGATTTGCTTGACTTACTTTCTCATTTTCACGGCATATTCTCTGCCAGAGTCTGCCAACAAACACCCTGATAGAACAAACTTGATAAATGTCTCTGTTATATAAAATACAAATAATGAAGTATATAAAGGCATAAGTTAACTGAAAGAGTTGGTATCTCAAATGTTTTATATGACCAAATGGAAGAAAATTTAATATCTAGAGAATATGTTGCTTTTGTCATTTTTATATTAACCTAAAAAACTAGGGAACTCTTATTCCTATTTAGGTAAAACCGAGTTGTGGGCTGTTATACAAATTGTTAGGTAAAATGGTTAATTACTGTTTGAGAACAAGTATTTAAGCATGTACTGAAAGAGACGAATGTATCACTCAAACAGGTGTTTTCGTTACTTAGCATTATTTTAACTTCATATGCTGCCATTTTTTTGTTTGGAAAAAACACTACTTGACCCATCGTATATAAAAGGTAGCGTAATTTCTAATTCAATGAGCATAGATGTCGCTAATAACATAATAATTCCTCTTTTACATTAGCTTAATTTATATGATAATAGTGTCATTTTTCCTTCATTATGTAAATTGGGGCTTTTTTCAACAAAGTATTAAGAAAAGTATGACAAATATCTTACTATGTTTTGCAAGATGTTCGTAAATGGAAATTTATTCCTATAATGAATTTTGAGTACAAAAATGTTGATGCTATGGAGGCAAGAAGAGGAGCTAGGGACATTTTTCTACTATTTCAATTTTTTTTTAATATGGTGATTTTTTTTCCATTTTTAAACAGCAAAGTTAGACCACCAATAATCAATAACTTATAATTCTGCATATGTGACAAAACATCTCAAATTCTTAGAAAGTTTCTGCTCACTAAAGTCAACAGAAAATTTAAAGTGTACCTTGTCATCCCCATAACATTAAACATGTGGGTAATAATGTCAAAAGTGGTTTCTTTTTAAGCTTATAAATATCACAGAACCTGGAAAAATGCTCTCTTCAAGGCCCTGTCATAATTATATGTGAGGCCATATATTGATGACCAAACTCTCTGTGCACAAGATAAAGACAGACCAGTATTATATCAAATTTTGGGTTTTTGCCAAGTTTATAGAATATTTTAATATTCTTTACTGGGAAACTTTTTTAAGAAAAGTAGTTTTAACAAACAAGATGATCAGAAAGCAATGGAAGTATTCAATGGAATTGAAAGTTTCATTTAACATTTTAAAATCAGAGTATCATTAAATAAATCTACAAGGGCTTTTTGTTGCTACATCTTAATATTTTATATTCTCTATTTTTAAAATTCTTAGGGAAATTTATGTTTATGAAGTAAATTTTACTTGTGCAGATTATAAACCTCATGTAGTCTTAGACAAATTTTCAACATTCTGGTTTATGGGTGACCATAACAGAAAAATGTTCACGTACCTATAGTAATTTGAATTTACAACCAAAGCTAAGTTGGTATTTATCTTGGACTGATGGAAAACTTAGGCTTTAGTTTTTTAGACCAATAAGTCAGAAAGTGTGCCTGGTTGCCTTTTTGTTCCGGTCTCTCCTCTTCGTTGAACTTTTGTGAAACTTCCTTTCCTCACCATGACCAGACCATTGTTGACTTTTCTCTCTGCTGAAGGAGAAAAATAACTCCCTTAGTCCACGCAGCAAAGTTTAAAACAAGGCAATTTCTCCCTCCTTCCCCTTTGTGTAGGCTGGTTAGTAAACTTCTGTTGTTTCATAGCATTGTCATGAATATTCAGAGGGCTCTCTGTAAAATGGCTTTCCTCCTGTCTCTGTTGTGTATCATTTCTTTTTTCTCTTTATTTGATTCATGCTTCTGAGTGGACCCCTACCACCAAGTTCACCAAGACTTCCATGCGTACACAACCCTTTCATCTCTGTCACATTATGACACCTGAAGAGTTTACATGGAGTCTTTTCTACTTTATCTGCTTTTTAAATCCTTTTCCTAACATCTTTTTAGATTTTTTTTCCCAGTACTACTGCTCTAAAATCTAATGGTCATTTCTTTCCAAAGATTAAATTCATTTTTCTTTGCTGTAAATTTCATGGGAAATAAGTTAAGAATTAAGAGTTGGGTAGCATCACTCTTATGTACAGTTCTTAAAATAAGTTATAAGTAATTAATTATAAAAATTGGTTTCTTGTGGCTTGCTGTATTCAGTCCACCACAATGTGGATTTTGCATGCTAAAAGTAGAAAGATATTAATTTGGCCATGCAATAAATGTATCTTACGTAATGACAGCTAACTTTATATTGGATCAAACTTGTGTATTTAAGTTACTGTATTAAAATTACCAAAATCGATAAACAATTTATATCTTAATTAACTAGTATTCTATTTTATTGTAGCTTGCACTAGTCTTTTATTTCATTGTATTACATATACTTGAACTGTACCAATAAATTTATCAACATTATTCTGTAATTCATCACACATTTTCATACCTAATATAATTTAAGTCATTCCATGTGTTTTTGTTTGATGTGCTCTAATTCATTCCAGTCAGTCCAAATGTACTGTCTTCCATAGGTTATCCTCCCCTTCAAGTGGAACTGGAAACTCCCACAGGGTTGCACTACACACCACCCACCCCTTTCCAGCAAGATGATTATTTTAGTGATCTCTCTAGCATAGAATCTCCCCTTAGAACCCCCAGTAGACTGAGTGATGGGGTAGTGCCTTCCCAGGGAAACGTAGAGCATTCAGCAGACGGACCTCCAGTCGTAACTGCAGAAGACACGTCCTTGGAAGAGAGCAGACTTGAAGACTCAATGCCTTTGACAGAAATACCTGAAGCAGTGGATGTACATGAGAGCCAGTTGGAGAATGTATGTCTGAGTGAGTATCCTCAATACCTCGGAAGGATGGCTGGGGTCCCAAAAGATGTTAAACCAGCAGAGCCATTGGAACAGACTAGAAAAGTAGGAGTGAGCTCTGAGCAGCAAGAGAAAGGAAAATCTGGTCCTGATGAGGAGATGACGGAAGAAAAACTCAAATCTCTATTTGAGGATATTCAACTTGAAGAAGGAGTAGAGTCTGAGGAGATGACAGAAGAAAAAGTACAGGCTATTCTTAAACGTGTTCAGCAAGCAGAACTGGAAATGTCTTCAATTACAGGTTGGCAGAATGAGACATCAAGTGGAAACCTAGAGTCCCCTGCTCAAGCTCGAAGAATAACTGGTGGGTTACTAGATCGACTGGATGACAGGTATGGCTGTGGGTCAGAAAAAGGAAAGTGACATGCAGGTTACATGTTAATAGTTTGTTTTCTTTCTTTATTTTTTGGCTGTGCCATGCAGCTTGTGGGATCTTAGTTCCCTGGCCAGGGATCGAACCTGGGCCCTTGGCAGTGAAAGCATGGAGTCCTAACCACTGGACTGCCAGGGAATTCCAGTAGTTTGTTTTAAATGTATGCTTTTTAGCAATTACTGTTTTTCTAAATTACCATTCCAATTTCAGGATAATACATGCTTTAAAGGTTAGTTCATTCTGCTAATCTGGAGAGGGAAAGTTACATTAAACTCAAATATAATTCTTAAAACTACTGATAATTAGCTGAAGTAAAATGCAAAAAGTTATACACATGCTAAAGATTAATACATTTTCTTTACTTTAGAAGGTTACTCTTTTCTACTTTATTACCTGTAGTATTATTCTTTTCACATAGCCAGAAATTAATGCTCATTTAAAATAATGTAATAAATAGAATTCTGTCTTTTAGAAATATAAGCATTTCTATTGTTTCCTGACTTCAAACATAAATGTGCTTATTATACAAAATTTTAAAATACAGATTTAAAAAAGCAATACAATGCCATCATCTAGCAATAACCACCACTAAAATTTTGGTGAATTTCTTTTACATACGTGTTTTTAAATGTCACAGAAGAATGCAGAGAAGCACAAAAGTCATCTATCCTTATCATACTAAGAAAAACTAACACTGTATATATCCTTCCTTTTTTCTACATGAATATTTTATATAATTTGCAATATGGCATATGTAATTCTTTACCCCCAAATAATATGGGCATGATAGAAATTTGTTTATAACCAAAATAATTCCCTAATCATGAATCTGGTTCTTTTTACAGTGATCTTCCTCTAGGAGGGTAAGAGCTAGTGTCCTTGAGACACTGGTTCAAACCCCACCACCATTAGGTTTGCACTTTTCGACTTGATTAATTTCTAAGCTCTAAGAACGCCACTGTAATTGGCTTTAAAAATAAGAATACTACTACTTTCCTCAAACAGGTTTATAGATTGAAAAAGAAAGCCTGTAGCATGCCTACCCAATGACTGGTACAAACAGTATCTCAGTGATAGCTGGCATTATTTTATTTATGCACACATAAAATATATTTTACTCCAGTGGTAACTAGTGATAAACCTCAGTTCTTTTCATACAACTTATTTTATAACCATGTTTAATATTTTCATATTGCTGATAAGCTTCTTGCTCAATGAAAATTCCCAAAGAGGGAGGTGACAACATTTGCAAAGAGTTCGCAAAACTCCCTTTGAAGAATGGGAGCATCAATGAATTCTATGTTCAGCCTACAGAATAGAGTATGGAGACAAGAAATAGTACTAATTTTGATGTCTAGGTTCAGATAGAATCACATAATTTATAGTTGCATAACAGGAAATTCGATATAGCTAGGAGTTATAGTTATCGTACAGGGTCTTCACAGTATGCTGGGACTGTTTGTCCTTAAACATCCGGAATAGGATGTGCTATTAATATTTTTTGATAAAGGTGTTTAATCAGAATTTGATTTATAAGGATACGCACATACATATACATAGTACATATATTGTACATAGAAAACATTGCACTAGTTTTATTGCCTTCGGAATTCTACAGGTAATAAGCAAAGGTGCTAATAAAAACAATATACAAAAAAAACCCAATATACAAACTATAAAATAAAGTAAAAGTCTATATTGAAACTAGTAAAAATTAGAGACCAATTTAAAAGAAAGTAATGGAAGAGAAAGATTTTTAAGAGTCAAAAGGAAAACAGTCCTCACAGGTAGTAGAAGCAGCAGGTGAGCATCCACACCCTTATCACCGGAGAGAGTCAGCAGAGGTCAGGAGTGGAGAAAGATGAGAACCCAAGTAAGGTTCTCACGGTTCTTCCACGGTGGGAAAAGCATGACGGTAGGATTCACAATTGGAAACACATACAAAGACTGGAACATAGGGTTCTTGAGGATGCCAGAGCTCTCATCACAGGAATTCATTTTGTTCTTTGTCATCAGTTTTTTCACTGGCACTAGAAAAGCATTTTGAGATCTCCTCCTCTTTTAGATTGGTGGGTCTGGAACTCTGGGTATGTCCATGAACCTCTCAGGATTACTTTTTAAAAGATACAGAATCCAAGGAGCTGTATCAGTACAATTAAACAAAACAAAAGAAAAACAGTGACAGCATAGCCAGCCAGCTAGTTTGGGAGTTGGAGTGAAGAGGATGCCTGGAGCCTGTGTATCATCTCCTCACCCCACACCCACACCCACAACAGGCCCTCACAGTTTGAAATCTCATGACCAGATTTTTCATGCGTTTCTACTGTATGTCTTTCTTTAAAAGTAGTTAAAAACACGGCTGTTGAAAATTTAGAGCTTCTGAAGCCCATTTGCAGCCATATGTTACCATTATAAATTTCCACATCTTCTCTATTGCAGCCCTGACCAGTGTAGAGATTCCATTACCTCGTATCTCAAAGGGGAACCTGGAAAATTTGAAGCAAATGGAAGCCATGCAGAAGTCACTCCAGAAGCAAAGACAAAATCTTACTTTTCAGAATCCCAAAATGATATAGGGAAACAGAGTGCAAAGGAAACTCTGAAACCAAAAATACAAGGTTCTGGTCGTGTTGATGAACCAGCATCATCACTAGCGGCATATCAGAAAGCTCTAGAAGAAACCAGCAAGTTTGTCATAGAAGAGCCTAAACCCTGTGTGCCTGTCAGTATGAAAAAGATGAGTAGGACTACTCCTGCAGATGGCAAGCCAAGGCTTAACCTCCATGAAGAAGAGGGATCCAATGGGTCTGAGCAAAAGGTACGTCATCTAGTTTTCCACTGTGCTGTCATTTAAGCTGAAAGTACTGACGCTTCGATTCTTTTATAATCTTGTAGCACTGGGCCCAGTGTTCGTTACTACTTCCAGATTATCAATGTGTGATTGAAAATTGTAATACTAATAATGGGGGTAAAGAAAGTAATGAGTAAAATATATGCTGTTTGTCATCCCTTCTTTCATTGGGTAGAAAAAAGGAATAAACATCTTCTTAGCCATTTTTCAGGAGGGAAAAGAATACAGCAATGTTAAGTAAGTAGCTTAAGGTCCAGTTTTAATTTTGTCTGGGATTTAGGTTTCCTCACTCCCAACCTAGTCTTCTTTCTTGAGGATGGAGGATAATTATCCTGACCCTTTCTGGTTCTTTTGCACAATCTAAAGAGTCACTAGCATTGACCCATCTAAGAGTTCTATCCTATAAGGTCTGTTGCCTGAAAGGGTGTTTTAAAAATTGAAGAAACACAGTTCCCAAGCCTAAAATGAGGTGGGTATACTACTGTTGGTTGACGGCATTTAGAAATGCAACATTAAAAGTATCATTTTAATTATTTTTATATCTAAGTTGATAATTATCTTAATATTTGTTTTTAATAATTTAAAAAACCTTACTGTCATATAATTATTTGCTTGCTTTTTGTACTTATATGTTTTTGTGCCACCATCTAATAGATTTCATTATTCTTTGAGGGTAAACATTTTTAGATATTAAAAAATTTTTAATTGAAATTATGATTCATAGATGGGTATAAGAAAATTAAGATCAGTTCTGTTTCCTATATTTTTGACTGCTTTTTGCTCTCTCAATTTTTGTGTCTTTTCATGAACTATGCAGTAGAAATAGACTGAGAGTTATACATCTTTGGAATAGTAGTACTTGAAGTTTTCCCTAAAACATCTAGTTTACTTAAGATCTTCTACAGTGTTTTGGGTAGAAAAAAAAAGAAACAAATTTTTTGTAAAATAATGAGCCCATGACTAATTTGAGGTTTACGAAAATTTAGTAAACTCCTAATCCCTCAGGAGCTAATTATCAGCTTATTAACTAATCATATCCTTTCCTTTTCCCTCCTGCAGGCTATTTTTTGGATCACTTTCCTGCTTGTTAGGAGGGAAAGTGAGAGGAAATAAAATCCTCAGGACTTTCTTTCATTTCCTTCCTGACAAGTCTGTTTTGAGTATTGCTTTCTGCCTTCTAGTTAACTCGTAGCACGTTTAAGCAATATGACTTTGGATGGAATGTTCCCTTTTAAAATGAGCCTGCAAAATATAGGGAGGAGCAGTAACATAGTGATGTTTTAACTATGAAAGTGTATTGTGCAAAAACCTATTAAAAATCGATAGGGAAGTTCTGAAATATGTAAGTAAGCATTTCGACGGCATACATGTGCCTACATATTGCCCATTGGGGAAGCTTGGAGAAGGCATAAAGAGGATTTGAAAAAGAAAGTCTTAACCCTGAATGGAAATGCAGCTGAATTCATCAGTAATGGAAAATAATTAGTTGTTAGAAAATGTTTTCGAGATTTCTTATAAATGAGTTTGTGCCTTTCGCATTGGTCACTGGTCCTACTCCAATGCATAAAGGCTTCAGGAGCATAGCAATTCATAGTGAAGTTAAAGCTTCTGGAATATAAAAGTCTGACCTCACAAGAAATTCGAAGATGTCCAGGATGTATTTTTTTGTGGCTAGACCATAGTACAATAGTAATCAACTAGGTCGTTGGATGTATGATCTCAGAAAACAGCCCCCTTTTTGTCCCCTGAAAAATCAGGTCAAAAGTCCGGGTGCAGCTCTTAAACGGATGACTGCCTGCTGTTACAAGGTAAAAATCCTGCTGCTTTCCACCTCTTTACATGGCGCAACCCATGGCAAGGAGTACTGAGAAAATTCCATTTGGTCTCCTAGTTACCCTCTGTGCCATTGCATAGAGAATTCTCTAAAAGGAATCCTGGTCAAGATTCTACTACCATCTTCTCTCTACCCTTCACCTTAAGACTGGCAGAGACTCCATGGAGAAAATGGAAACAAACATTAGCCACATGGCCACTTTTTCTTTATGTGAGGGGCTGGTCTCAGATGACTCTTGATAGGATTATAATTGACATCTAGGTTTGTTGTCAGTGTTTGCATTAACATATGTTCTTCTGCTTTTAAATGTTTCAAGTGAAAAACCTTTCCCCAGTCTAGGATTCTGGGTATGGATAATTCAGAGTGAGTTTTCTCTTCTGCCTCATCTAATCTGTTAATTGCTAAATGTTGATTAGTAGTTCTTTTGCAATCTGAATTCGTCTTACCTTTTTCTGCTTTTCTGAGCCATCGTAGGGCCTCCTTTCACAATATTTAGGTCATTCTAAGTGTCCTGAATGTATGGTCCTTTTCTAAAAAAATTTTAAAGTAATGGGGAATTTAGTAGCCAGTATCTTTGCAAGGAGTAAGAAACTTGAAAACTATTTCCTTTTGATACCATATTATTCAGTAGGGCATTTTGTTCAGATGAAATTTCCTACAAAGTTAAGGTTGATATTACTATAACATTTAAAAATATTTGGTAAGTTTACCTTTGGTGAAGAATGGCCTACTTTATTATCTATTTGACTAACATTTCATTAATAATTTTTGCTAACACTTACACCTCCTGTAACAATTTTACTTATTTTTTTTCCTATTTTTACCAATTCTGCCACTGATTTTTCCAATGGATATTAACTACAGTTTCTATCTCTGGGACTGTCAGATTTGGGGTAACTAGTACACTTAGAAAATAAAATACTAGAATTGTTTTCAGAACTCCACCACTAAAATTTAGAAATAAAATTATTCAGTGTATACTCTTGACCATGATATTTAAGTAGAAGCTGAAGATAATTTTCCCTTTGACTTACGAACTGTTTATCACTTGGTAGTTTTTCCTTATTCCTATCCTTATTTCCTAAAAAGTAATACTTTGTGTAATTACTGTATTCTTACCTGTACTATATTCTTGTCTGTGCAATGTTGTTTCTATTCTAATTTCATATCAGTTCTTTAAAATAAGACCTCAGGCTTTCAAATCTTTTACATTCCTCATTTGAATAAACTCCTACTGAGTTCCAATTATGTATTAGGTATGAATTATGCTGATAAAAATCTCCTGGCAAATTATGCTGATATAAATTGTATACTTTTCATAAAGTTCAAAATAGCTTTTGATAAAGTTGTCAAATCTGACCAAAATATCATATAAGTCAGAAATACTATGCCTCTTTCTGTAGATCAAGTGAAAGATGGCCTGTAACTGTAAGGTTATACATTCATGTCAAATGTATAATATTTATTTTTAAACCAGCTTTAAATCTATATTATTTCCCCAAACTAACAATTAGTAGCATGTATGTAGTTTCCAATGCCAAAGTCTCCATCATTGTTATTTTTAATAATTTACAATTTTATTGTCTTGATCTTTACCTGCATATATATACTTATGCATTTACATATGCATTGCATTTATATATACACGTAAGTATATATATGCATATACATATGCAGGTAAAGATCAAGGTAATTATATATATTATTTATGTATAATTTATATATATTTATATACACATATATACATATAAATACAGAGTAATTTCATTTAGAATTCTGCTCAAAACTTTCTTCCACTTAAATTTTTTTTAAGATTTCCGCAAATATACATCATGATTTTCCTTAAGTGTGGGGAACCAGCAAGTAAAAAATTCTTTCTTGATTTCCCTTCTCAGAATGTCTTTTATTTTAAATGTGATGGTAAAATTCTACTAAAAATGCATTTACTCAGGACTTGAAAGGCAGTGAGAGTGATTCAAGCTCAGAGGAAGAACGGAGAGTCACTACCCGAGTAATTCGCCGGCGTTTGATTATAAAGGTATCCCGAAGCCGGATCAGTATGGGGCAACGCTGTATTATTAGAACCTTTCTTGTGGTTTGGAAAATTCAGCATGCTTGGTAACTAAATGGCTCTGTATGTTTCTTTGCACATTTGAAAACTTCTAAAAACAACCACCGAAAGGAAAAACTCACGTTGCATGGTAGTGAGTATTCTGTCTAGGCCTGTGTTTGACATGTGGCAGTTGTAATTTTACCCGAGAATTCTTGGCATTTGTATACTGCTTTCCTTGGAGAAGTGTTCTATGTGTGAACAAAGATTCTACCTTGGTGAGAGAATAGTTCATATCCAATGAAATGTTCAACTGAAACCCCAGAGGCTGTAATGAAGTATGAGGTAAGATAAAGACGAAAGAGAGTGAAAGAATTAAAAGGCTCCCTTCTCAGCCTTAACAGTTTTTAAGTGAAAACCAGTTCTTCATTATCAATCAATGACTAAGAATTCAGTGTTATAGCCTGGCATGGATGTATATGACATAATGCAAGCCAAGCAAAAACTTCTGAAATAGGTTTTTAACTTGACTGACATACAAAAAATCAGGCTGGTTTTTTCTAAGGCTGTATTTTTAACTAGAGGAAGCAACTCTTACTGGAAGTGAGAAATGTAATTCTCCCCTGTTACAGCACAGTTGAATACTATGAATAAATCTTGATTTCCCCCACAAAGGCCTTTTGAAGCACCGACCTTACGTATGGGAGGTCCTACAGACTGCTTCTTGCAGTCTGCTGCTTGTCTTCATTACTCTGCCTTTAGAGAGATCTTTCTTGATGTTAGAATAATTGAGTGCAGAGAACTAGGAAGCCATTTTCAATACACAGTCCTTTGAATGTGGTCCAAATAACTTGAGGCTCCTTGGTTGGCAGTTCTGAAGAGAAAGAAAGGAAAGGAAATATCTATTGAAAACCATTTATCAAACTTATCACCCATTTCCAAAGTGTCAGGACACCAAACCAGAGATGTAGGGAAGTTGGCTTAGGTATCCAAAACTTCTTAATCCTGCTGCTTGTACTTTTCTTGTAGATCAGATGAAAGAAGAGAAGAAAATCTGCCAAATCTGCTCTAGTATAGTTTTTCTAAGACTCTGGAAACATTAGGGAAGAAAATAAGTCCTTGTCTAAATCCTAAATTATCCACAAATCAACCTTAAGCTCAATAGGGGCCATGAAAAAAAGTAGGAATCACTTTGAAAATTCCACATGGGCAATCCACATTACTTACTGTTATCTAGCATATTTGCAAGCATTTGGCCTATTTATGAAGTCCTCGTAATCAGTCACCTCCCACACATTTGCTGGCATTAGGGGGAAGAAATCTTTAGTTTGGTTTTTCTGAACATGTTAAAGCCAAACTCTGTTCAGGCTTTGCTAGTCCCATGATTAAAATATTACTTCTTGAAGACACTAAAGTGAAACATCTAGAAAAAGCACACCAGACATACTGTCTTGTAACTTGCTTTTTATGCTTAACATATGACATACTCATGTTGCATCAAATTCACCTCATTTCTTTATAATAGCTGCCCAGTGTAGAAGTTGACTCCTCTATATATGACAGAAGAAAATAAACATAATCCTGCATAGACAGTGGGAGAAAGCGTAGAGAAGTTTTACTCTGGGGAATACTAAAACAAAACAATAGAAACATCAACCCCCTCCCTAAGTCAATGAGGGTTATATCTTTTGGTCTCCTAGAATTCTAGAACATGCATTAGCAAGTTAGCTGTTAAGTAATTTTGTTAGAATGAGTTATTTATATATTTAAGCTTAACATATAATTATATATATTAACATTTTTATTAAGAGCTTAAGTTTAAAAGACTGAAATACACTGATGTTATAGGCTTCATAAAACAGAGGAGACTGTGTTCTCTTCAAATCTTCACTTCTTGAAGTCAGTGTAATTTTAGGGAGGCTGAGTGGAATCATCGGAGAACGGGTTTCATAAGTGGGGAGGGCGTTGTATAAACAATGGCATCACTTAAACAAGCTTTGAGAAATGTCTTTCATATGTGACAGAGAAAACAAAAGCTAAAGGATAGCTACAATTATAATTGGAAGCTATAGGTGTAAGAAAAAATCTTTGTCAATTACATACGTAGAAATCTTTCTGGTTAATATTTTTCTGTTCAGATTTTGGGGGCAGTTGAAAAAGATCACATTTCTGTTGCCTTTTCTCTTTATTCCATATGTTGGTACCTTTTTAATGTAAAAGAGCTCGAGACTGCAGTACTACACGGTAAATGTGACATGGGATCCATCTCTGTCAAAACACATAAAATGAGAGTGTTAGGACCTAAAGGAGTCATTGAGACTAAAATTACTTCTTTTCCTACATGACAAAAACCAAGGATAGGAGATGAATTGATTTACCCAAAACCACACAGCTGGGCAGTAACAGTTCTGAGACCAGAACCTAACCCCTGGTCCTCTAGAGAAGTGCCTTCTACCTGCGTTTTCCACAATACTGTATTCCTTCTCGTCCAGAACAAATTAAAAAGGAATAACTTCCTGGACTAAATTAGGCACTTGGCCATTTAGACTTTTCCGGTGGCATAGGAGAAGGCAGCATTGAGCTATCTTTCCTGGAAACTATTTGATGGGGTTAGAATGCTAGGAATTTGACCTACTTCATGGAGGCTGTCCAACCTTGGACTGAACCAGCCACAGTAATTCCCCTAGCATTTAGAATCCTAGAGCGGAAAACTATTTGGTGGTTATTCCATCCTTCCCAGAGCTAGCTTTGGCCAGGAAATGTCAATGAAAGCAATAGATATATTCAGTATTCCATTATCACAAGTCTAGGCAAATCTGTGTTCTTAGCCATTCAACTAGTATAATAAATGGAGTGAAAGTAGAATTTTATGATTTTTCTCTTTAATTTCACATGTGGATTCATTCTTTTTTATGTTTTTATATTTTTACATTTAATATTTTCAAGTCCTTTAAGAAATGAGTCAAGTTAACAAACTCTCCCATTTGTTTGCGTATTTTTAAATTTTATAAGTATATTCATTTATGTCTATATAATATGATAATATCACAGTGGTTTCAAATGCTTGGAAGCAGTTTAAATTGACCAGTCCTATGAGCTTGTTTACATTATTTGCTTAGCAAATGCAGTGATTACAAAGGTAAAAACTTTAAACTAACTCAAACCATTGTGAAGTTTGATTAGATTCAAATAACTGAATTTTTACTATATAGTTCAACTATATATATATATTTTTTGTGTGTGTGTGTGTGTGTGTGTGTGGTACACGGGCCTCTCACTATTGTGGCCTCTCCCGTTGCGGAGCACAGGGTCCGGACGCGCAGGCTCAGCGGCCATGGCTCACGGGCCTAGCCGCTCCGCAGCATGTGGGATCTTCCCGGACCGGGGCACGAACCCGTGTCCCCTGCATCAGCAGGCAGACTCTCAACCACTGTGCCACCAGGGAAGCCCTCAATTATATTTTTATTTCTACTTTTGAGCTTTTTTACTGACTTTCAAAATAAGGGTTTACGTGTATGTTTCCCCCCATCAAACAACTCAAAAGTACAAAAAGTTCAATCTATCCATTCCACTTCCCATTGTTCACAAGCTTCAGATAACCATTGTTCTGGAACAATGGAACAAGGTAACCATTGTTCACAAGCTTCAGATCGTTTTATATACATATACCAATATGTATGTGTATATAGAATATACATGTGCTATATACATATACACATACATCCCCAGCAAGTGGGTTTCTCAGAATACATATTGCTTAGTAATTTGCTAAGTTTATGTGTATAGTTTCTCTCATCTCATTTTTTTGAAAGTTCAAGTTTTAATGTTGTGTACATCAAAGCAAATTGGTACATTTCATGTTATTTTTTCATTTTATTCAAGAAGGAGAGAGGAATAAAAATTATAAAATGCTATGTTTCCAGCAGGGGTCCAAAGGAAAGTACAGTAGTCTTCACAAAGGTGGCCACCAGGAATGATACTGTGACACCATACGTACTGTAATTTTCCTTTGAAATAGGAAAGAAAAAAAGTGCGGGTAGGTGTTGCCAAAAATAATGCCATCACCAAAACTAGCGGGGAAATTTTATTTACTTAAAAGTACAAAGGTTTTCAAGAACCTTAGAAACTAATTAGAGATTATTTTCTCTCATTAAAGAGAGGCCCTAAAGACCTCTCCTTGGTAACACCTGATCTCCAATGTACCTGACAGAATTAAAGATGGATGAAATTTTTTTTAATGTATTTTGTGACTCCTTACGAACTTTCCTATCTATCCAGTCAACTACTATCTAATCCCACTCCCTCAGTTTAGTGAGTTTCTACATAATCATATATCTTATTTTGACCTTATGTAAAGCACTAGTTGACTACAGTTAGTGCCCATTAAGACTAAGAGAAGTATCTTCACCTTTAATTATACGTAAGCAGTATGAATTTTCAGTAGGAAATAATGAAAATGCCCACATACCACAGCAGATCTCAACAACCTATATGGCTTGTTATTTATAACTAGGGCTTTGCTTTTTTCTAAGGCTATTAATATAAATCAATGTACTTAAATGTATTCACTATGCTTATAAAAATACCTACTTCACATTTCAGAGACTGTCTGCAAATTAATTGGCATCTTTCCCCACCAAAGGGTCAATTTATAACACACCTAATAGTATGCTATTTTAATGGATTTTCCTGGGATCCTGGAATTGTCTTAACACTCAAAGAGCTAGACATGTGCAAGAGTTAGTTCAAACATATCTCACTTATACATGTTTAGACTACAGTGAAACTTTTCATGACCCTTTTTTTTGGCTTTTCTGCTGTCTTTAAGCCTTTACTTGTAAAATAAAATGAAATTTTTTTTTCCAGGTATGTGAAATCAACCATAGGAAACATAAATTACACTCCCATAAGAACGTGTTGCAGATCTTAGTGCGTTCAGGCAGGAGACCTCTACATTTTTCCAATTTCCTTCCCTCGCTTAACTGTGCTAATTGAAACTAATCGTAAGCAAGGTTCAAGGTGAACCTTGAAGCAAACAAGAGCAGCAAGAAACATCGTGTTTTATTTTCATCTCATCTTTATACCACAGTGAGGTAAAATGAGTCAAATATCCCACCCATGACCTATGAGCCCACAATCTATAAGAATACAAAGTCACTTTGTAGAAAGAAAAAAGAACAAAAACAGAATTTTGTTAGCAAAACAAGGTAGTGTTTCAGTCTCTACTCTGTTATTTTAAACCACAACTGCCTTTCTACTGGTTGTGACATAAAACAATCATAGAATTTTCTCACCATTGGCTGCCACTGACAAAATTAACAGAGCTACTACCTTTCCCATGACAATAACACTGAAAGGGTTAGAATCCTGGCTCTCCCAGAAAGGCAGCTGTCTTCTTTGTGATTTGCCATTTTTCCTAAAAAACCTACAGGTGTACAATAACTACAGTACACAGTACTATAGCACTGTACAGGTCACCTCTTCAACAAAAGAAGTATGACTAACAAGTCAGCAGGTCTCTAGAGTGGGTCTGCACTTAAGATGTTTGTCCTTGTTCCCCAAAACTGTAAGTGAGACTGACCTAAAGTTGACACCAGTGAAGAAGGTAATGTGTTACAAATACAGCCCTATGTCTGCTCTCTCAGTGGTTTTTCTTTTCCTACAATCATAGAGCTAACAGACATTAAGGAGCCATCTAAATCTACTGACCTGCCTATTAGCAGGAAAATATGATGCCACTTGGCAAGTTAAGAATTTATCCCATTTTTTTGTTAACTCACCAGAGGAAGATCCTTGACAGTTTCCCCTTCTAAATCAGATAGCAGTCACTAACTGAAAGGCTGTCATCTTACATTCCTTTAGTAATTAATCAGTCATCACATAAGACTCATTCACTTGATAATATTCTGAAACTATGTACTTCATCAGACATTAATTATTCTCATTTACAACTTATGAAAGGCTCAGTCTGAAAAAAAGAAATAAGGTTTTCTCTGTACTCTGAACTTTTCTCATAGTATTTGAAAAAATATTGCCTTTAGTAAGGACTTTTTAAATTTAACAAACTAACAAAGGGTGATTAACACCCCAACTAAGGTGCTACCTCAATTCAAATCAGACAAAAGGAAATCCACCAAAATGAGAGATTTCGTAGGACTAATGAAGAAACATTATCCAAAGTGAAATGATCTAATTAGAGCTCTAATCATTAGCTAAATCTTTTTTCAACAAATGAAACCTTTTTGTTTGTCTGTCTATGTATAACTGTATTCTGTGATTACATATTTTCAAATTCTTCCTTCTTGGAGTTTGTTGCTAACCATCATTCTTGTACGTACTTGAGGTTTAATGCTTTGAATGTTGTTGACTGCTAAATAACCATCCATGGAGTCAGCCTTTTCCCCTGGCCCTGGAATTGCAAGTAGAGTTTATACTTTCTTTTTCTAAAATGCCACAGAGCATGTGTGTGGTGTATGGAGTGATGTGGAGATCTGTCCATCTAGTATGTTGCTAATCTCTATGCCACATCCTTTAGGGAGAGGAGGCAAAAAACCTTCCTGGTGAATCTGTCACAGAAGAACAGTTTACTGATGAAGAAGGCAACCTCATCACCAGAAAAGTAATCATCACTGGGGTTCATGCTTCTCTTGGGGTTTAGATTTTCTACTATTTGTTTGCTGTAGTGTCACCTCTTAAAATAGAAAACAGGAAAATCTCTCCTTTTCACTATTGCTTCCTACAGATCACTCGGAAAGTACTAAGACGAATTGTTATCCCACAAGAGAGAAAATATGATGACGTGGTAATGGAGAGGGACTGTCGTAAAGAAAGTAGAGAATAAAAGCTTTGTGAACTCTCTAGAATAGGCTGCTAACAGGCTGGCGTCTGCAGTGTGGCAGCTTGAAGCATTTGCTGCTTTTGACATCTTGTGCATTTGATCAGGGTCAAAGAAAAAGATTTTCCTTCCTAACATTCTTTAACAGTATATACTCTTACTATCTTCAGAGTTTTCACAGCGATCATTTCATTCATGGAGGTTGGAACATGCCGGTTCGAGCATGGGAGACAAAATTAAAAACCCTCTACCACCACCAAACCCCTCGGCCATGCCCCACCCCTGCCCAGTGCTTTACCTGCAGCCTACTTGGGACCCAGAGAGAGAGCACTTGTTTCCAGCAAATGCACAGGGTTTAATTAAAAGTTAGAATGACAAAAAGCTCGTCTCAAAATCCTTACATCTAATCTATACATTTTCTCTTTCCAGTATATTCTACAGGGAAATATATGAATTCCCCCATCTTAACCTGAGGAGGATTCTCCTCTCTGGGTTAATAACAGCCCATTTCCAATGGGCCAGTTAAAGAACTAAAGTCATCACTGAGCAGTGTAACTCAGCAAGTGAACCTCTAGCTCCCACAGAAAACATCTCTGGTTATTTTTCATTTCTTTCCCTTTCTCAGACCTTTACCCTTTTCATTTAAAAAACAGAAACTTCAATAGCCTGTGTTTACATAAGAAAAAAGTAAACTGAAAATTTCTCAGAAGGAGTAAATCAGAAAATTGGAAAGGCTACTGTGTTTTCCATTATAAATAGGGTAAAAGCTGAGTATCTGTGCAACCACTTTGCTCTCAGAGAAGTGTGTCCTTGGTGCTTGGTGAAGACAGGTCTTATTTTATGGAAAAGGGATGCCTGCTTGGTCTGGAGTAAGAGGACAGGCTTGGTAATTCCACAAATTAAAAAAGAAAAAGTCTCTCAGCTCAACAGCATTTCCATGGTCTTTAGTTCATGATTAGTGCTTTACTGAGAAATTTCAGTCTCATTACAACAGATTATTTAACATTCTGCTGGCTTAAAAAGGCATAAATTATAACTTACTAATATTTTTATAATTGGGGTTTGAGTGCCTTGAGAGTTTTAGTGATGATTTCTTCTAGTTTTACAGGAACTGGACAGGCTGTCCAGTTGTTTGATCACTAACCTACTGAATTATTGTGAAGTACAGTAACGTATTCCTTCTGACGGTGCTCTCCCACTTGCCCTGATGCTGCTGAGCTGTGTGGTTGAGGCAAATAGATTATGTCTGGGGACGTGAAGTGACAAAGTACTTGAAACTGTGTTTCGCTTATCCTAATCCAGCCTCAAGGGACCAGAACGGAAACTGCTTTTTAACGAAAACCCTTTCACCATGAAATCTTAACGTGTACATTCCTTTTAAAGCAGGGAGAAGGTTATAAGATGAAGACGAAGAAAGAAATCCGGCATGTGGAAAAGAAGAGTCACTCATAACAGTAAATGGTCAGTCAAGGTGGTAAGTGTGCTCTTATCAACAACAGTAAGACGTAACTTCCTGTGAAACTTCTAATTTCACCAAATAAGTGATTCCATCCCCCCGCCACCCCCTTCCTCTCTTTTTCACTGAATTGCAGCTTTGAATATCCAACAAGCAGTTGGTGGTCATTTTCATGTTCATGTACACGTACATCTGCACACGAAAACCAAGGCCTCTAGCTCACAGTCCATAAACCTTCTCTTCACAAATTAGGAATTTAAATCTAAATGATGGTTGCAGAAGCAAATGTAAATAGTGATCTTGAGTCTTCTCTTAAGAGCGAAGGCTCAGTATGAAGTGCAGTAGCATTATTCACTCTAACAGGAAGACTATTTGGCAACAAACAGTTCATACAAATGTATTTGGAGATTTGTATTGACCAGCTTTTCACCATTTTACCACAACAGCATCTAAGAATATAATTTTGGTTGAAATACAGTGGTTGCCAAGCTTAAATGAGCAAAATCCCTATATACTACTTCATATATTCTGTATAAACCAAAGCAAATCAAATAGGAGGTTAATGGCACTACTATGTTTTCTAAGTTAAAATGTTTAGTGAGCTTTGTTTAAGGTTGTCTGAACTTTTCTTCACGGAGAAGGATATTTTCCTTTAACACTGTTTTCTGAACTTTGTGCTGTTTCTTTCTATGTAGCTACAATTCAAAAGCCCGTTTGGGGTGAAAAAGCAGATAGAGCTTTGAAAAGCTCTGTGTAAGTCTGTGAGGTAAAGCAGGATGAGTCCTTTAGGGCTGCTCACCAACAGTTCTCCTAGCCCCAAGTAACAAAGAGCACACAGATCCCAGTTTCCACTTTCACTCATCAGCTATTCCCCAGTTACCAGAATCCTGGTACTTGGAGTGCTGCTGTAAGGAATTGAGAAATCACGGAGTCTCACTGCCCCAAATTTTGTATGCAAGGTAACTGTAACTAAGGCCCAAAGAAATTCTTAATCCCTCCACCTCCAAAAACAACTTATTCTTTATTTATTCACTTAAAGATTTATTTCACTTCGTCTCTGTGACGCTTTCTGCCTAGGCACTGGGAAATCATCGGTAAACAACACTAGGGAGGTACTGGCCCTCGCTGACCTTACATTTTGGAGATTTAACGGTAGTCAGTCACTTCAGTATTTAAGGCATTGAGAAAACTCCTAAGAACTGCAGAGTGCTCTGGAAGTAACAGTATTTGCTACCCATACATACTCTTCCAGTGTTTCAGGTGTACTCTTCATTTAATTCACTTGGATCGGTGCCTTTATCATCCCCATTTAACAGGCCCCAAATTGCCCAAGGTCACCTAAATAAAAAGTGGCAGAAACAGGATACAAACCCTAACAGGCTGCCTCTGGAGCCCACACACTCAACCCTGTTAACTGGAGATCTGACCTGGTCTGAGGGTGACAGAGAAGGTTTCCTTAAGAAAATGATGCTTGAGATTAGTTTTAAAGGATGAACAGGATTCATCTGGATGAAGGGGAGGAAATTTGATGGTGTTTGGGGTAGCCTCCTAGGCACAGGCTCTAGCGTTCTGCAAAGGCCAGAACTGGGAAGAAACAAGAAAGGAGAACAGGTCGGTGTAGCCTGCAGAAGGTTTTGTCATTGTGTCTGGAGAGGTAGGAAAAATCGGAATATCTGGGCCTCATAAGCCTTTTTTCACTAAAAGTTTAGGTTCTCATCACACACTCTAGTTGCAGGGCACAGAATGAATTGGAGGTGGCAATAATGGATGAGCAGAAAACCTATTAAACTACTGAAGATGCTGGCTTGGGCAGTAAGGATGGTAAGAGGTAGGCTGAATCGAGAGATAGCGACATGAATTGCTTTTTGTCAGGTGACAAGGGTGAGAGATGAGAAAATTAAGGATGACATCAGTGTAGCAATATCTAGAATGAACCCACCCATTATGCATGTCTTACAGCTGAATCTGGTAAAAGACATATACAAGATTTTTTTAAATTGAGGTGTAGACGATTTATAATATTAGTTTCAGATGTACAACACAGTGATTCAAAATTTTTATAGATTATACTCCATTTAAAGTTGTTATAAAATATTGGCTATATTTCCCTGTGCTATACAATATATCCTTGTAGCTTATTTATTTTATACATAGTAGTTTGCACCTCTTAATCCCCTACCCGTGTCTTGCCCCTCCTGCCTTCCCTCTCCCCACTGGTTAACCACTGGTTTGTTCTCTATATCTGTGAGTCTATTTCTGTTTTGTTATATTCATTTGGATATGTTTTAGATTCTACATATAAGTAATAACAGAGTATTTGTCTTTCTCTGACTTCTTTCACTAAGCATAATACCCTCCAGGTCCATCCATGTTGTTGAAAATGGCGGACTTTCATTTTTAATGGCTGAGTAATATTCCATTGTATATATGTACCACATCTTCTTTATCCACTCCTCTGTCCCATTTGTTTATTTTTGCTTTTGTTTCCTCTGCCTTAGGAGACAGATCCAAAAAACTATTGCTACAATTTATGTCAAAGAGTATTCTATATTTTCTTCTAGGACTTTTATGGTTTCCAGTCTTACTTTTAGGTCTTTAATCTATTTTTAGGGGTTTTTTTTAATATGTTGTGAGAAAATGTTCTAATATTATTCTTTTACATGTAGCTGTCCAGTTTTACCAACATCATTTATTGAAGAGACTGTCTTTTCTCCATTGTATATTCTTGCCTGCTTTGTCATAGATTAACTGAGCATAAGTGTGTGGGTTTATTTCTGGGCTCTCTATTCTGTTCCATTGATCCATGTGTCTGTTTTTTTGCCAGTTCCATACTGTTTTGATTACTGTAGCTTTGTAGTATAGTCTGGTCAGGGAGCATGATAACTCTAGCTCTGTTCTTCTTTCTCAAGACTGCTTTGGCTATACAGCAGATTAATAAAACACTAAGCATGATTTTGCCGTCTTAAATTGCTGTGTTTAAGCAATTCTGATAAATTAAATAAAACTAGAAGAGGGCTTCCCTGGTGGCGCAGTAGTTGAGAGTCCGCCTGCCGATGCAGGGGACACGGGTTCGTGCCCCAGTCCGGGAAGATCCCACACGCCGCAGAGTGGCTAGGCCCGTGAGCCGTGGCTGCTGAGCCTGCGCATCCGGAGCCTGTGCTCCGCAATGGGAGAGGCCACAACAGTGAGAGGCCTGCATAACGCAAAAAAAAAAAAGCAAAACCTAGAAGAGACTTCAGTCAGCTTTAGTATGCCCCTAAAAGTTTAGCAACTTGTTCGGTAATAGACTCAGACTCTGGGTGGGAGAGAACCAAAAAGGTTATCGACACCAGCTGAGCCATTTTTCTAGAGTAATATATACCTAATATCTATGAATAAATGATACCAAAAAATATATGACAGTGCTATGCTTCCAGGGTCCTTTAGAGTGAATTAATACAGAAATGACTAGGTCACTAAATGTACAAGAGACTAAGATGATAAATAATCCACCCTGTAAAGCAGTTGGCAGGGCCTTGGCTCACTTGCTACACCACTCAAAGGAGAGAGAAACTCACTAGGAGAATTCATATGAATGTGAAAATAGCTTCAGCATAAAGCAAACTTAATGTGTCAGATGGAAAGAACAGCGATTTGACTGCAAGCCTCATTTTACTCTCCAGGGTGGTATTTGCCTTTCATAAGTGAATTTAGGAAATGAGTCCAAGAAGACTGCCTGGAATTCCAGGACACTGAATGTGTGCTCTGGAAAAATCAATTTGCAAGTATATTGAAAGTTCTTATGGCCCTGCTGGCTTTTTTTTTTTTTTTTTTAAAGAACAACTAAGCACATGGAATGTGACCCAATTTCACTGAGTCTCAGATGGTGACATCAAAATTTTTATTCTGCATTTTGTAACCAGTTGAATTTTGAGCTATCTGAACCCTATACCTGCTTTTCTTTAATACCGAGTCACAGCCATCCTATTTTTAATGTAAGGGAAAAGCTGATGGCTTAAAATAAGTATAAAATTTATACGTAATATATAGTGATTTATAGTTTATAAAATGCGTTTACATTTTTGTCTTATTTAATCCTTCAAACGAGCCTCCAGGAAGAGTAGACCAATTTTGATTGCTACCTTTTACAGATGAGGATACTATGGCTCGGAGAGGTCATCTGACATTTCTTCTTTCAAACAGCTGTGACTGGAAGAACTAGGACTTGGCCTCAAGATTATTGACACTTCACCTAGTGTCCGATTCCACTAAGCTGTCTTTCTAAAATTAGTTAGAATAATAATAATAATAGTCATATTCTATAAAAGATTACTGTATGCCAAGTACTAGGTAAGATCATTACATACATTACCTCATATAGTCCCCAAAACAATGCTATAACATAAGTACTATTATCTCTTTTTTAATAAACAAGGAAACTGAAGCCTAGAAGAATTAAATGTTACCCAAGGTCCTATAGTTAATGAGCAAAAGGATAAAATTTTAACTTAACCAGAGCCTAGCTCTTAACTATTACTCATATTAATAGTTGAATAGTACTTGATGATTATCAGAAACCTAAAAGCAAATTTTGAATCAAATGTACGTACAAACGCAAACTGTAGTTAATTTCTTCATACAATACACAGTGAAAATATTCATTTTGGTTTTGTTTTTTTAAATAAAGCAAAACTTCATAGCCATAACCTTCAAAAATACCATTAGAGAACTGATTAGTGAGGCTATGACAACGGAGGTACCCCAGACACACGTTGGAAAAGACTGGAACAGCTGTACTGTAAACCTCTTTTAGGGAAATGCTCAGGATCTCACAGCCACATGGAAGCCAAGAGCAGCAGCAACAGCACGAGGCTTGCCGGGGGAAACACTTTATCTGAGGCCAAAAAGTTGACTCATTTCATTCACACCTTCTAAAAAGGACTTGGCCAGCAGTGTGAAGAAGAGGCGAGAGCGACCCCTGGACTGGCCAAAGCCGTGCGCCACTGCATCCCCGTGCCCAGCGCCTACGTCCCGCCGCCGTCGCCACCATGCCCAAGAGAAAGGCTGAAGGGGATGCTAAAGGAGATAAAACCAAGGTGAAGGATGAACCACAGAGAAGACCTGCAAGGTTATCTGCTAAACCTGCTCCTCCAAAGCCAGAGCCCAAGCCTAAAAAGACCCCTGCAAAGAAGGGAGAGAAGGTACCCAAAAGGAAAAGGGGGAAAGCTGATGCTGGCAAGGATGGGAATAACCCTGCAGAAAACAGAGATGCCGAAACAGACCAGGCACAGAAAGCTGAGGGTGCTGGAGAGGCCAAGTGAAGTGTGCATTTTTGACAACTGTGTACTTCTGGTGACTGTACAGTTTGAAATACTATTTTTTTATCAAGTCTTATAAAAATGCAGAATTTTGTTTTACTTTTTTTTCTTTTCAGCTATATTGTTAGCATACAGAACACTTCATTGTTGTTTTTTGGGGGAAGAGCACATGTCACTAATAGATTGTCTCTGAAGCTGGATTGACATGGGAAAGAAACACCTTTCCCGTCTGGTTTTGAGAGACTTCCTCTTGGTTCCCAGGAAGGAGGGGTTCCTTGATGTTGACACACAGTAGCCACCTTGGCACAAGCGCCTTGTGGTGTGGAAAAACTAAAATTAGTTTTTATGTCCTCTTCTCCCTCTCCACCTTCAGCATAGACTTGACTCTCTTAAACCCAGAGACCTGTTGGAACCTGACCCCCCAAAATTGGTTACCAGTATGTCAGGCAATCTGGACTTTGCATTGTCACCACTGAGATGGCGCCCCTCAGAAGAGCAGCGGCTCCTTTTTTAGATTGTGGATCTTCAGATTGATACTTTTGCCATTTTCATTTCCATTTCCTGAAAGTCAGGGTCGGCTTGTGAAAAGTTGTTAAACAACATACTAAATGTGAAATGTCAACCCTCACTCTAAACTTTCCCTGTTCAGAGCATCACATGAAGACTTCATGGGGTATTATAGTGGCTTTCTGATTTTGGTAGTCCATTGCAAAAGGGAGTTTGAAAGTTGTCGTATACTGTTAACGATTGTCTGCCCATGTCCTGCCTGAAATACCACGATTGTTTATGAAAAGTATCTTTAATAAAGCTGGATACAGTTTGGAAAAAAAAAAAGGACTTGACCTTCCACCTTGTTTAGAGTGAAAAGGCTAGTAATAATATACAGTGGTGAATAAAACCTCCACGGCCCCTACCCTTCTGCATCTCTCAGCATGCAAGGGGGAAAGAGATGGAACATGAATTGTTTAAGGGCTAAAAATGCAAACTCCAAGATCCAATGGAAGAATAACACAGAAACATATTTAGACTTGGGGGCTGGGGAAACTCCCTCGGAAGTCATGACATTTATGCTAAGACCTCGTAGGTGGTGCCAACAATGTAAAGAATGGGGAGAGGGAGAAGAGGACTCCAGCAAAGAGTACAAAGTGTGCAAGAGCCTTGAGGTGGGAAAAGGCCTAACACATTTGAGGAAATGAAAGAAGATTAGTGTAACAGAGCCTGATGAGCTGGTGGGGGGTGAGGCAGGCCCATGATGAAGTGAGAAACGCCTCATCATAGGCCAGAATATAGGATTTGGATTTCATTCTAAAAAAATGTGAAGCCTTTGAAAGATTTCAAGCAAGAGTCTGACCTGATGTTTTACTTATTTTTTTAAGCACACCAGCTATGTAGAGAAGGATTGGAGGGAAAACAGGAATACACTGAAGGAGGTGAGCTAGGAGGTTATTGCTGTAGTCCAACTAAGCCACCATGGTGGCAGGGCTAGGACCTGGGCAGCAGTTTTAGGAAAGTCAGCAGTGTCTGATGGCTTGGGGTTAGGATGGAGAAGAAGGGTTGAGTCAAGGATGATGCCTTGACTCAAGGTTTCAAGGGTAAGCAGGTGGGTGATGGAAAAAGAAACAGGATGGGTTTTAAGAAGAATATCAAGCACTCAGGCTTTTGTCGATACACAAGTCTGAAGCTTTGAGGAAAGGTTGGACTAGGCGTATAAAAATGTGAGTGTTATCACTAAAGAGGTGAATACTGAATATCAGAGAAAGGGAACACCAGAGAATAGGTGTGATTACCTAGGGAGAAAGTGAAAGTGAGCAAAGAAGGGGCTCAGGGTCGAGCCCCAAAGAACAACATTTTGAAGAGGAATAGAGAGCTGTAAAAGGTTGCCTCTGACCTCTTCCTTCCTAGAGATCTCCAAGCTGTGCTAGCTCCTCTAATCTATAATCAAATTCAGCCTTGGCCCTCTAGTATATATTTAAAAAAATTTTTTTCATAGCATATTCTTTTCTGAAGATACTTCTCATCTTACTTTTATTCCTTTATGCATTATAAATGTAGTTCTCTCATATTCTGTGTATAATAATTCTAAATTGGAACCCAGTGCAGGACTGTTTCTGCTGGTTCTTGCTCATTTTTTTCCCCTGTGCCCCTGGTCCTCTAGTATATTTGTTTGGTTTTACCCAAAATATTTTAATCCATGCAGTTTAGTATCAGTGGATGAAAGAAACTTTCCTATAATGCAGATTAGCTGATAAGCTTTTGTAAATAACTGACCATGCACATTTAGAGCCCCTTTACTTCTTAGTTTGTGACACACACTGTGTAGGTGGTCGGGGGAGTCCAGCATTGAAGACATTATCCTAATATTACTCAGCCATTAAAAAAAGAATGAAATGATGCCATTTGCAGCAACATGGATGGACCTAGAGATGATCATATTAAGTGAAGTAAGTCAGACAAACATAAATATCATATGATATCACTTATATGTGAACTCTTAAAAAAAAAAAGATACAAATGAACTTATTTCCAAGACAGAGACTCACAGACATAGAAAACAAGCATATGGTTACCAAAGGGGGGGAGGGGGAGGGACAAATTAGGAGGTTGGGATTGACATATACACACTACTGTATATAAAATAGGTAATGAACAAGGACCTACTGTATAGAACTGGGAACTATACTCAATATTTTGTAATAACCTATAAGGGAAGAGAATCTGAAGAAGAATATATATATATATATATATATATATATATATATAAATATATATATATAAAACTTTGCTGTACACCTGAATCTAACACAACATTGTTAATCAACTCTACTTCAATTTTAAAAAATATATTAAAAAAAAAAGACATTATCCCCAGCATCACCACTCACTTGAGGGCATATAACTGTACAGTCTAGTCCAAGAGGCAAACATGATAGTAAGTTACATAAATCAAAGTACAGAGCTATGATAAAAGATATAAAAATATCGCTAGGAGAATCCACTGGAAGATGTAGTAAACACCAACGGAGGAGATCTTGCAAAGCTTCTTGAAGTGCGTATTTGAACTGGCTTTTGAAGAAAAGGTAGGATTTAAGACTGGGCAGTGTGATACGTGCTATGCTCAGGAGTTGGGCCTTTATCCCAGAGACAGTAAGGTACCACTGGAAGTGTTGTCGAAGGAGAATAATACAGTCAGATGGAATTTAGGTAACCCTACTGGTAGGAGAGGGAGTTAGTGGTGAGAAGAGTTTGAACACGAGGACCCCAGTTATGAGACAGGATGAGGGCCTGACCCTGGGCAGAGACGACAGAAAGGAGAGGGCTGATGTGAGGGACATTTCAGAAGTATAACAAACAGATTAATTCCATAGAGGGAGTGAGGGTTGTGATCCTGTGTGTAATTACTAACAAAAATATAGAAGCTAAGAAAAGGAAAACAAAATTCGGGACTGAAATAGGTCAATCTGTAGTGCCTTAAATATTTGTCAGTGATGAGGAAGAGAAATCTGGGCTAGCAATCTTAACGTGGTTACAGAAGTGGCCTGAGTGAACATAAATCACACACTTACTAGCTTTGTAAGCTTAGCCAGCTTATTTAACTTCTGTGCCTTAATTTCCTCGCCTCTATTAGGATAAGAGTAACATATCTCACAGAATTGTTGTTAGAATTAAACGAGTGAATCCATGTAAATCACTTAACAGTGACTGGCAAGCCCATAGTAAGCCCTCAGTAAATTCAGCTATTATTAGTAGTGCTAAGAGGTGGGGGCAGGAAGATAAATCAGGAGCTTGGGATGAACATATACACACCACTGTATATAAAATAGGTAAACAGCAAGGACCTACTGCATAGCACAGGGAACCCTACTTAATAGCTTGTCATAACCTGTAATGGAAAAGAATCTGAAAAAATATATATAACTGAATCACTGTGCTGTACACGTGAAACTGACACAAGATTGTAAATCAACTCTACTTCAATTCTTTAAAAATGATGTAGATTTTTTAAAGAGAGGTGAGACAAGAGCCGAGACTAGCACCCGAAGAGCCTGGATTCAGGAGGCCAGTGGACAGAGCAGCAGCCGCCAGGTGTGCTAGAACACAACAGTGGGAGAGGTCGGGACAGCAGCATCGCTGAAGTCCTCTGCATGTCACGTCAGTTTATACTTCAGAACACTTTCAATTATTTCCTATGACTCGTTTCTCACGGTAGCCCTGGGAAATCATTAAAATAGGTATTCTCATTCCTCTTTACTAAGGAGAGAGAGCAAAATCGCCAAAGCTATAGTTAATAAATGACAGGTTTGGTTTGTGACCTAGACCTCCTGATTCTGCTTCCAGGAAGTCAGAACTATGGTCTGAATTGCTTCACTCCAGATTCAGGACCCTGCCCTCCACAATCTTTTCCAGAATTCATCTGAAGTAGATAATGTTTTTACGTAGTGTTTTTCATTTTTCTTTCCCTTTAAAAAAATCCCTAATTAACCAAAAGCAGGCTCTAGAGCCAGGTGGCTTGACTTCCAATTCTGGCTCGCCCATGTACTAAATGTGCCACCAGTATAATAGCTGTATGGCTCTATTTTCTTATTTGTAAAATGGAAGAGAGAGTACCTCGCTGTTATTAGGATTAAATGAGTTCCACCTTAGAACAGTGCCTGTTAATAATAACAACATTATTAGTTGTACTAAGTTAACTATACAACTTTATTAGGGTTATATTTTTCTTCTATAGCCAATGTGTACATCAGGACTTTACCAGTAATTACTTTTCATTTTTTTAAAACTGGCCCTGTGACCTCAGATATTTTTTTAATCTCAAGTCACTAGAAAAGAACAAACAAAAATTAAGTCCCACTTATTGGTATTAGTTGAAGAACAAATCTTCACAAACTGGGAATTATTTTTAAATGGTGCAGTAGTTTATTATGATTACATAAAGTAGTTAGAATTAATGCTTAGGCAAAAATGTTTTTAGCTCCATGACTTCCTTAAGAAGAGAGAGAGAAAAGGAGAAGGAAAGGAAAGAGAGAGGTGGGTTAGGAAGAGAACTAGAACAACAAATTCTCTGTTCTCAGTGGGCTATAGGGAAGGCATATCAGAAAAGACTTTCCTTAGGGCATAACAGTGCTAAGTCTTGAAAGATGAGTAAGAGTGAGCCTACAGGGACTTCCCTGGTGGTCCAGTGGCTAAGACTGTGCGCTCCTAATGCAGGGGGACTGGGTTTGATCTCTGGTCAGGGAACTAGAGCCCACATGCTGCAACTAAAGATCCTGCATGCCGCAACTAAGACCCAGTACAGCCAAATAAATAAATAAATATTAAAAAAATAAAAGAGCCTGCAAAGGTGGATCTCACTAGGGAGAAGATAGACCACACTTTCAAGGAGATGGCATTTGAAACACACCTGAAGAGTAAAGAGAAGTTAGAGATAAATGAAGATGACAGCAGGGGATTATAAGTGGATATGAAATCGTGAGCAAAGAAAAGGAAGTTAGAAACCAACGGGTTGATGACTGGCCTGTAGTCTAGATCCTCTAGACCCTCCAGTGTGGTCTGTGGACCAGCAGTATCAGCATCGCCTGGGAGTCTTGTTAGAAACGCAGCACCTCTGGGCTCACCCTGACTCCTCGACCAGAATCCACATTTGAAGATCCCGGGGTGACACGTATGCACTTTAAGCTTTGGGAAGTGCTGCTGCAGAACGTATTACTGGCCCTTAATCTTGGCTGAACATCGGAATCATCTACAGAGGTTTTTTGGTTTTCTTTTTTAAGTGTTTGATGCTGGGCACCACCCCAAGAAATTCTAAATAAACTGGTAAGGGAAGTGGCCTGGACACTGGGATTTTTTAAATCTCCCCAGATAATTCTAATGTGTACCCAAGTTTGAGAAGCAGTGGAGATTGTCAAACAATGCTTTTCAGTGGAGAGTATGGTCATTAAGCATGAAAAGGTTTATTGGGATGAACTGCAGAGCGCTAAAGGCGTAAGGGGGTGTGTGTGGAGCGGGGGTGGGGGGGTTGTTGTTGGGTTTTTTTTAGCTAGCCACTAGGGGCTAAATACCACCAGTATGTGAACCTATAGAGGAAAGGTTGGTTTTAACCTAAATATATTCCTGACTTGAAAATGTGACATGGAAAGTACAACATTCATCTGTGAAATATAACCTGAAATATAACCATGAGGATCCAATGAATAGCTGTTTTTCTATATTTTAAATGGTTCTTAAAATTTAAAAAAATGTATAGTGAAATGACTAAATGGAACGATTGGTTTTCTGACTTGTTTTCCACTACATTTGGGTTTGAAAAGCATGAAAACCCAAGGACAGACAGATTCCTCAATGCAAATGCTCTCTCTCAGATCCACTATCTAAACCCAGAAAGAGAAGATGACTCAAATTCTATTTCTGAAATGTCATCTTGATGGATCCTGCCCTTGCACCTTTCCATCAGATGGCGATCTCATCACAGTTTATACACTGTCAGTATTTTATAACAGGTCCACAGCCAATCGGCCAAAGCGCTCATGCTTTTTGTGCAACACTGTACTTGGTATAGGCTTTTGCCCAGTGAATAACCTTCCTGCACCCCGTGTAGCTGGGGCCTACACACCCTGATTGCGTGACCAAGAACAAGAGAGATTTATAAGGGCAAGTAACACCCAACTTTTTAAACTATCACCCACATTATACCTGAATATAAATGGGCATAAGTAATAGTTTTTTTTAATTATAGAAACATATCCACTATTTCTAGAAAGATAATGTTCGCGTGCATTGAGGTGCTAAGAGAAAGACCTTGCTTCTTATTGCAAGATTAATTGGGAAGCTGGACTGGTTTTTGGAAGATGAAGCAAAACAAAAAAAGTTCAACTGGGCTGTAGTGATGACTGCACATCTATATACATTTACTAAAAATTATCAAGCTATATATAATAGATGAATGATATGGGATATAAATTATATATCAGTTAAGCTGTAAAAAGTTGGGGGGAGGGTCAATTAGAAAAAAATTGCTAAGAATTCTCCCTAAGAAAACAAAGTGAGATCACCAGGGTAACATTATCATAGGAGCATCTGAGAAGCCTGGTGCCTGGAAGGTTAGGAATAGATGGGAAAAGCAGAGGTGAGAAAATCCTGATCTTCTTACTCTGATTTGCACATTCTCTGGGACATGGCCTGCCCAAATGAGTCACTTTCCTTCTCTGGAACCTCTGCAGAGTCATGGGAGTGGGGCAGGTGTTGAAATCACCCCAGAAGGAATTGATACTTTGGTATTCTTGGCTCCAAGCTTCAGTGACCTGGGGCATGGAGGTCAGTGCCACTTTTAATACAAAAAAGGCAGGCAGGACCATGGTGGGGCAGACAGAGGAAGTGCTGTACTAACATGTTTACAGAAGCCAAGGTAGCCTGGGTGACCCATCTAAAGGGAAAGAAACTTGTCTGGGGTAAGTAAACAACCTCAAGGTCACTGAGAACACTTTTAGGCCCCAACAGAAGCAGAATTCTAAAGGTTCTCCTGGACCTGCAAAAATAGTCTGTTGCATGTATGGGAGTGAACAGGGTTGTTCCCAAAATTCATCTTGCCTGACTCGCCTTTTCTCTAGGGCCTATGTCTTGTTCTCGGGCAGGCATTCAGGTGTCACCCTTTCACACTGCTGGGGAGGAAGGGACATACGAAGGAAGAACTTTGTTTTATGGAGGAGGAGTTCCTACCAAGAACAATACTGCACAAGAGTATGAAAACCTCTGCCAAAGGATTATTAAGACTGGCTCTAAAACACTGATAACTTTATGCAGGTATTATCCAGTAAGGCAAGATGTTCTTAGTGGAGTCTCCATAAAAAAGCTCGAATAAAATTGATTTACCCTGTCATGACTGACATGAGGCAGGAGAAGGGAAGGTATTCTTTGCAATGGCAGAAGATAGTCTTTAATTTGAATTTGCATATGGAAAAGCAATTCCATAGTAAATGAAGTAAGGACACTGTTCTCCCTTCTTGAAAGGCTGCATTTTGCAGGGTGGGAGGCTTATTATACAACATAGAGGCATGACCGAGATGCTCCATCCTGACTCCGTACCCCTGGCCCAGTGTGCCCTTGAAAACCCCAGACATTTTGATGGAAATCTCAGAGCACCTTTGTCAGCCTCCTTACTTCACAGATAAGACTGAGACCCAGAGGTCTGCAAATGGCTTTCCCCAGTTCCTGAGTGAGTGACCTGAGCATCAGAGACTTCAGAACTAGAAGAGGGTCTTTCCGACTCCATCCCTGAAACCCCTAATATGGGAAACAATGTTCTGTGGAGGGGACAGGGTCACCCAGAGGTCATTGCCTTCCAAGAGCTTTCTAGCACACTTCAGGGCTTTGTTCTCTGAGGCACCTAGCAAATCGCCTCAGTCAAAAGTATGTTAAACCACCCCATTAGGAAGTCGAGGGCCCCCATTCTCTGAGGCATTTCTGCTGAATGGCAAGGAAGATTTTGGCAAGTTCTTTAAAATAAATAAATAAATAAAAGGAAGGTGGGGGGGAAAGCTAAACTCACCACCTGTTGTTTCTCTATCCACAGGATCATATTGTTTTTATTGCCAGTATTGAGAAATTCATGGAAGATAAGTCAGCAGGAAGTAAAAATTCACAGAGAAGGGTGTGTGTGTTTGCTGCTTCCACACATTAACGGCATGATTTTTTTTTTAATGCACAAAGAAAAAAAAGGAAAAGAAAACCACCCACATTTTAATTTAGCATGAGCCAATTTACAGAGCATGAAAATTCACTTTCATTCCCAGGATTGGCACGTGTGCAATTAGCAATGCAGTGTATATACGAGAAGCCATGCTGTTACCAGTTTATCTCAAGTAATTTGGTGTCATTTACAAAAGGAAGAAATTCCTGCCGCCAGAAGAGACAGAAGGAGATGGAATGATCAAATCATGGAGAAACACTAAAATTACTAAAAATCCACAACAGCTCGCCTTATTTTTCTTGGACCCAAACTGTCAGGGTATAAACACTATTTGTTTCTTTTTTAAAACATCTATAGTTTTGCTGTAAATAATAACACTGTATAAATTCTAACAGAAAAAATGGAATAAATGTCAATAAGGCACTGCCTCTTAGAACACAAAGAGAATATTGCAGATGCATTTAACATAACGGGGGTCTCAAGTGACTTCACCCCAAAAGAAGGAGGAGGGGTGATGGGTAGGGGGATCTTCACCGATTCTTGTATATTAGCAATTATAATGTTTGTATACGCAAAACTGCTAGCTTGATTTTAAAAAAACAAATCTTTAAAATCTGCTGCAAATTTAAATAATTCCCCAAATGAGGAATTCTGTAGTTCTGTGAAAAAAATTTTTCTTCAGAATACTAATATTTTGATGCATGTGTATCACCTTATTTTGATTAAATCTTTTCCAATTTTGCAAACACTACAGTATACTGCGACACAGAAGATTTTATCTGTAAACACAAAGCCCTTCATCTAATATTTGTTGCTATTGCCAATTTTTCAATGAAATGACCTAAAAATGAAAAAAAAAATAACCTATACGGTAGTTGCTTTAGGGGGAGGGGGGTGCTGGTAGTGCTTAAAAGGGTAATGCTTGCCGCTTTAGAGGTGGATGGTGCTCATAAGAGGCCCCTGTCAGGGGTATTTTCAGTGGACTGCACAGAAATTCTTAGCTAGTAGAATGGCAGCACGCTGTAAACTTATTCCTGTATCGTGTACTGGCTGTAAGATGTAGACACCTTTCAGTAAGCCAATCATTTGTAACCATTCTACCCATGTCATATTAGGTTAATAAGGCTGCTGTGTTTTAAAGGGCATTTTTATTTGGGTTTTGGTGAAATTCTTTAATTTGTTGATTATATTCATATAAAATCAGCATTTATTGACACATAGCTCTAATGACATATGTATGAGAAACCATACACTGGATGACCTAGTTGATTATTTAAGCATAAAATAAATTGTGTTAAACTCTTCACCTATCTGTGCTCTACAGTGTCCTTGTGTTCTCCGGCAAAAGGTAATTGTCTTAACTCCTTGTCTCTTGGCCGCAGCCGTCTTCCTCACCAGCCCGTTTCGTGCCTCTGCCTCTGTGGTCACTAAAGAGATAGTCCCCAACATTCAGTCCTGCCCTACCAACTCCCAACTTAACACAAATTCTGTGCATTTCATTGAGAAGCCAACAATTACAGACTGACTGACAAGTGATCTTTGCCCACAGCTGGTATGATCTGCCCCCCACCCCAAAACGTGGAGAATTGGGGCTGTAACAGCTAGCACGTACAGAAGTTGTAAAAGAGCACTTCCAGGAACCATTCAGACAGCAGTTGTCTGTAGCCCATAAAGCAATCGTTTTTAAATTGACATTCACTGTCCGTGCTTGTGAGCTGGGAGATTTCACATAATAACCCAAATTTCTCACTTCTCTTGAAAAGCAAGATTTAGCAGCCACGAGTCTCACTGCCAGAAGGCCCAACCTGCTGGGCCACACTGCCCCTGCCCGCTCCAGCCAGGCCTGGGGTCTCCAGGCACCACAGTCCCGTCCCCACTTCTCACACTGTGAGTGCCCTGGCTGGCCTGTAGGTGCTGGAGTCTGTGATCAGACACTACATGATAAACTCAACAAGGCGGAGACCGTGTCTGTTTTCATTTTTATTCTAGCCCAGAGCCTGGCATATAGTAATGGTGGTAGGAGCAACTGTCATCACCATTGCTGCAACTGGAATGCTCACAGTATGCCAGACGATTCTAAGTATGTTGCGCTTATTAACTCGGTCCTCATAGCAACTTTGTGAAGTAGATACTGTCTTTGATAGTAATCGTCCCTGTATAAATATTCAATGGGTGCTTAGAGCCATCCAGCAATGTCACAGGTTTTCTGTCATTTAGGATTATTGCCAAACGGGACAAGTTGTTCCCAGTCAGGTTTCAGTATCAATGCAGAACACATGTATAGGGAATCTACTGTGCATAAAGAATGGGGCTAGACTGCATTTGCACGGCATCCCCAATAAAAAGATATTCATTTGGCGCCCTTAGCCCTGCATCAAAATCATCTTATGATGAGCAAACCGAGACCCCAGGAAGATTTTTTAAAATCCAGGTATCCTAACTTCCCATCTAAGTGTTATGAATTTCTGACTCACCATCCTTGACAGAAAGGTATTTACCCTGCACTAGAAATTCAGTGAAGTGTACTTGTTTGGGTATTAAATTGTTGTTATGTTTATATACCTGAAAATTTGACTTCAGGGACACGTGATGGGCTAAACTTCAGGCCAAGCAAAAGTTCATAAATTTACTCAAAAAGGGAAGTATCCAAAGTAGGATAATCACGATTTTATTTGCATATACATAGGTATATGTATATATTTATATATGTGTGCATGGACTGAATGCGGGCATGCGTTATATACAGTCTTCAGCCTGCTAGCTTATGAAAATGTATTTTAGCTTTCCTTGATTTACATTGCTGTTAAAAAAAATGAACTGTGATTGACAGATTCTGATATTTGCTGTGTTTTTCAATTTTATAATCCTACCAAACTCCTGAGTTTCTTACATTTAAATGTATTATCATTATTGTATTGCCAAGTTATGGCAATATACTGTGCAGGGTTATTTCACCATTTCTAAGAGGGATCTACTTCACTGAACACATAAGCAGCCAGCCTTCTATTAATAAATTCTGCCTTGGCATCCTGATGTTCCACCATGTTCATTTTGGTACCATCCTGGGGTCCCATCAAGACATGTTTTTCTCCGGGGCAAATAAACAAACAGAGAAAGTTGTCTGCTTGCCTTTATTATTATGAGCATCGAGTCACATCTGGCTATACGACAGGGATATGTGAGAAGCCCAGAAATATAAACCACAGGAATGATAACTCACCCTGTGAGTCTTTGAAGAAACCAGTGATCTAAGCGCTAACTTCCTATCTGGGTGGCTCTGGGTGTTCTTGATTTGTTAAAGAGGCCCTGGCATATTAAAAGGTGTGTGGTTTCCTGGTCATATGGCACTGCTTCTCTTTCACGAATTAATCATCAAACAGTCCATAAGTAAACATTTCCAACCCTGGGATTCGAGGCCAACTTTACAAGAGTTCTTTCAATAACGGAGACAAAAGGTTATCCGGCTAACCATGCACCAATACAAAATCAATCAATAAATAACAGAGTGGACTCGGACGAGCATTCTTAGTAACAGGCCCAATAGCCTTCCCTTTTTTCAAGAGAATTAAATGCAGACAGTTCAACATAGGAGCAAAAAGAAATTTGCCATTATATCTGCTACACTCAATGACTGACGGCTACGAATAATAACGACAACTAGGTGAACCTGCAGTGAAGAAATTTTATTCCTTATCCCTTGGTGCTTCCTGTGTTAAGGAATAAACACCCTGAGGGCTGCATTTCCAACAGGACATCCTGAGACTCCTCACCAATTCCAGAGGCGTTCCCAAGCACAGCAGAGATGAATACCCTCAGGGGGTTCGAAAGGATTGAGGAACCACTGGGCCACAGGAGGCACCCCAGACGCAAGGACTATTAGGGCTTTTTCTCCAGGACCACCTTAGAATATCTTGTTGACATCCAGAAAAACAGGTGATCTCCTGGCCCAATTTCCCCCGCCATCCTCAACTGCCATTTTCTCCTGACATCTAACTCAAGCAAGGGCGTAATTCTGAGAGCTGGGCAGGAATGATGATTTGCCAGCTTTTCAAAAGAGTTCCAGCATGTGAGGCACACCACCAGGCCCTCACACCACACCGCACAGCACTCTGAAGGGAGGGACTTTGTTTTGTTCTCTGCTGTATCCACAAAACCTAGAATACTGCCTGACACCTCATACGTAGGTACTCAAAAAACATGCACTGAGTACATGAATGAATCAATCAACCAATGTCGAAGGGCAAGGAACAGTAAACGGGAAATGTCACTCTGGGCACCATCTTGTGCACCACTTTCTTTACAGGTTCAAGCAAGCTGTGAATCAAAAGAAAACACTGTTGTTGATTCTAATGACTTAACTCACCAAGGACTGACTTGTGTCACCGTCCTGCACTAGCCCTTTCCAGGTGCATAATCCCCTTGTTAGCCACAGTCTTAAATACCTGGGTTTACCTTGTAAGCAAACAGCGCGTCCGTCACACTGCTGAATTAGCGTCTCTCCCACGGCCACGGGCTTTAGTCCTCCTCACTGACAGGCCACTGAGAAACCAGGCGAGAGAGTGCAGAACCCATCATGAACCCTCGTCTCTATTAAAAAAGTCAGCTGAGCCTCCTCTCTTTCAGACATAATATCCAAAAGTTTTAAAAAGTCTGACCACCTCAAGAGTCCCACCTCAGCGTTGCTAAGCGTTAGGCCGGTAAAGGACCGGAGGTCCAGAAATGACACCCTAGAAGCCCCTGGACCAAATCCAGCCTACAGCAACGCTTTGTTTGGACCACAAAGAGTTTGGAAAAAACCAACATTTTTAAAAAATCAGGAGACTGTAGATGAAAAGGGGATTTCAGCTTCTTTTTAAGATCTGAAGAAGTGACAGTGCTCTTCCTGAAATGCCTTAGGACAACAAGCAGGTAGAGCTGAACCACACCTGCCTCCTTTGGACAAGCTGTGTTTCACTGTTCACCACCGTCCCTCCTTACCCTATAGCTTCTAAAACTCAATCTACTTTATTCATTTCTATCCCCAGTCTCTGATCTAACGGGAGGAAGGAGAAGAAGGCAAATTGATGAGAGCCTGTTTAAATTCTTCCTTCTTTACGGCAAGCCAAACATCTACCTCATTTTCATCCTGTCTCTCTCAGGGCCAATAAGAAGATGGGATAGAAGACTGAGTGACTGGGAAGAGGAAGATGAATCATGTGGTTCTCCAAATCCATCCATCCATCTCATTCAACAACGTGTAGTCACTGCCTGCCACTTTTCAGGTGCTCTCCTGGAGACAGGATACATCAATTTCCTGCCCACTGCCTTCAAAATGAGGAGGACATAAATAGCTTCTGCGTGAAATCTAAATCTAGGGCTCCTCGGGAAAGGAAGCCCTGGAATGACTTGTGCAAACAAAACTCCTAGCAGCCCCTCGCAGCAGTGCATGCCGGAGAACAGGGCAGGCCGTGACGGATGGAGAGGAACGGCCCGTGCTGCTCAGGCAGCCCCTGCGCACACCTGCTCTTCACAGTTAAGTGAGACTCGAGCCTGACAAAAGTATCAATTTCGGTAGAAAACTTTAAAACATTTCAAAGGTATTTTTAAAACTCTACAAGGGAATACAAGCCATCTTGCTTCCAAAGATTCTAAATTTAGGTGAAAACAGTTGAAACTTTCAACTCATGTTCCGTGTTCTTCACCTTCCCTACGTCAAGTCCCCCCTAATTCTGACGGCCTCACCAAGCCTCCCCCGCTGATGCCAACCCACGCTGGTAGCTCAGGTGAACTAAACGAGTACCCCATGAGTACCCAGCACTCACTGAGTCTACATCCTTGATGGTTCCTCTGGACATCTGGCACTTCCAAGAACAAGGACTGTGTTTTCCACAGTCCCAAGAGCAAAGCTGGATGCACAGAGGGTATAATAAATGCCCTTCACAGGCTTCATCACTTATTGTTCTTTATGGTTGTCTTGCCAGAACCCAGCGATGCTGCAATACACACTGATCCTCAGTCTGGGCATACATCCCACCCTCTGGAAGTCAATGCTTGAGTGCAATAAAGAGCAGCGCTAGAGCTGCCTCACAGCCTGGCTCACTAACACTGCCATCGTGGTTGGTGCGCCTTGCCAGGTGGCGCTGAAAGCAAGTCAATAATGAGTATCTAAGGAAAAGCCTGTGAAACCGTAACCCATTCAAGGCCATGTAGATAGTGTACTTTTCTTCATGCTCCCTTTCCTCTTACTTCAACACCAGAGCTGCTCCACAGAGGGACTGCTCCCTGGCCTGCAGCGAAGACGAACCTCAGTCGACCCACACTGGGCATGCAGTGTGAGCCAGAAATGAACCTTTCTAGTCAGCCACTGAGATTCTTCAGTCATTCGTTAGTATAGCATAACCCACAATTAATATACAAGTCAGGCAGAAGACACGAAGGGGTGGCAGGTACTGGGTAAGCCCATTCCCCTTCTAACAGTCTCCCATGTGGGAGTACAAGCCCAGCTGTCAAGTTTTTTAAACGTTGGCAGTTAATTTGATTTTTTTACCCAGTAATGTTGTGTGTATCAAACAAAACATGGGCCACTGGTGTTCAACCTCAGCCACTGGCTCTTGGCATTTGCAGAATGCACACACGCCTGGATCATGCTATACACACCTCCTGAGATGTGATTTTGAACTATACAGTCTGAAGCTGGTGTGCATAAGCAAATGTCTGAATTCCTGAGTCAGCTGATGGATGACTTATCACCCCCACCTCAGTGCAGCGTGGTTATTCTCTAAGTACCATTTCAAATGCTGAAACTCTCATTAAGTGTCTGAAGAAGTCACTTGACTTTTTTACATGCATTTTATTGCATTTTAGTGAAGAGTTGACCTTCACTTGTCCACCTGGGCCTAATGTGGCTCTGCCCACCTCTATAACCAAACCCTCCCATCCTGCCCTTCTCTCTCACTACACTCCAAACCAGTGATAAAGTATAGTCCATGAACTGGTCTTAGTCTGAGGATTTTTTTGTTGCCTGTTGCAATGAGATAAAAAACCTGACCCAGGGACTTCCCTGGTGGTGCAGGGGTTAAGAATCCGCCTGCCAATGCAGGGGGTATGGGTTTGATCCCTGGTCCGGGAAGATCCCACATGCTGTGGAGCACCTAAGCCTGTGCGCCACAACTACTGATCCTGCGCTCTAGAGCCCGCGAGCCATAACTACTGAGCCTGTGTGCCACAACTACTGAAGCCCACGTGCCTAGAGCCTGTGCTCCATAACAAGAGAAGCCACTGCAATGAGAAGCCCGAGCACCGCAACGAAGAATAGCCCCCGCTCGCCACAACTAGAGAAAGCCTGTGCGCAGCAACTTAGAACCAATGCAGCCAAAAACAAATAAATTTTTTAAAAAAGAAAAAAAAAACCTGATCCAGATTTTAAAGCAACTGTGTTACTAAGCATGTTCTTTATTTCAGTTAACTTTTTTTTTATATAGTAAGTCTTTCTTGAGAAGGAAAGGGTGCACAGACTTACAATCTGGTGCAAGCTCCTTATCCTGTCGCAGGCTGTTCCTTATCTTGTGCAGAACTCTGCATAGCACAGTTGTAGCCATACTAGCTTCCTTTGTGTTCCTCAAATAATGCCAAGTTCCTCCTCATCTCATTCCTATTTGTACTTACCCTCTGCCAGAGGAACTCTCATCTCAATCTCCAAATGTCCCCTCCTCAGGCCTTCCCTGCACACCCTCTCCAAAGCAGCCTGACACCCACCCCTAGAATTCTCTGTCACACCACTTTACTTATTCCCTTCATAGCATTTATCACTAGAATCATCCTTTTTGTTTATTTGTACACTCGTTTACTCTCCTCCTTATTCACTGCTATATCCAAAGCCTCTAGCACAGGCCTGGTACTAGTAGGCACTCCGCATTTGTTGAACAAATGAATGAGGGGTGGAGGAAAGCACAGACCAGTATGGCTTAGGCCACATATCTGTGAATGCCAAGGAAGAACAGCAACATCTTCAGTGACTCATTGTCAACTATCGAAAAGATTTCATTTTCCTGGGAGGGCTGCTGAGCTTCCACCCCCAGTGCAGACTTGCTGAGAAGAGCTTTAGAATGCAACTCCCCCTCCACAGCCTCCTGCGAGAGCTTTGTTACTGACTGTCAGGTATCACTGTGGTGTTTTTCCATCTTGCACCGAGGCCACGTGATGGGAAGGTTGTTAAAATCATCTGGTATGTGTCACAGCAGAGCTTCAAATGACTCTTTGAATCACCCAAAGGCAGCCCAGCCCCTGCTAAACTGGTGCTTAAAATATGAGCCATCTTGGGCTTCTCTGGTGGCGCAGTGGTTGAGAGTCCGCCTGCCGATGCAGGGGACACGGGTTCGTGCCCCGGTCTGAGCAGATCCCACATGCCGCGGAGCGGCTGGGCCCGTGAGCCATGGCCGCTGAGCCTGCGCGTCCGGAGCCTGTGCTCCGCAACGGGAGAGGCCACAGCAGTGAGAGGCCCGCATACCGCAAAAAAAGAGCCATCTTTCTGGCTGAAACAAAAATCTTGCTGGTGGACTAGTAACAGAACAGAGAGACTAAGTGACTACATTGTATAATGGCTGCAACTCTTCCTACCCTGAGGGGGCCAACCTGCAGCTGGAATCTAAATTCTCCTTTGGCTTCACAAGAGTCAAAAATCAGATGGTACAGGGCCTGGTGCAAGGCATTAAAGGGTAGTAGGGACTGTGGAAAACCTGAAAGCATGTGCCTCAACTAAAACCACAGTGGTTAGCTAGCTCTAACAAAATATTATAATGCAAGAATGCAAGCCCAGAAATTGTCAGCTCTTCTGATTTTTCAAGAGACACTGGAAATCTGTAAGAAGGGATGAAGGTGGGGTATGGATGTAGATGAGTATGGATATACATAAAATTCAACTCAAATGCTATTTATTTAGTTCATACTATGTCCAAGTCACTGTCCTAGGCATGTATATATGTCCTAGACACAGCTGTTTATTAAAAGTAAAAAGGAATAAGAGCTGAGACTCATGGACTCAAAAAGCTTTAATCTTATCAGAAAACCAAGACATGCTCTTAAATAAATAGAACATAAGACAATATGGGGAATGCTGTGTATTAAATAAGTCTATGTGTATAAAGCACCAAACAGTCTTGACACATAGTAAATCCTACATGTGTTGGCTATCATTGTTGACTGTATTACAGTCATGATCTCAGGATTACTCCTGCCACAGTGAACCGGAGAAGGCCTAGCTGAGAGTCTTGCACATATTAGGTATTTAATAAACACTAGCTGAATGAATGAATGCTTGGTGAAAGAGCAGCATTTGAACTGGGACTTGAGAAATAAGAAGGATTTTAACATTGTGAAGAAAGGAGGCCTAGGCAAAAGGAACAAAGAAGCTAGAAGGATAAAGGCATCCAAAAGCATGCACAAACTCTGTTCTGGTCAGAACTTCAGGAGAAAGAACAGGAGGCAAGGATGGAAAGAGCAACTCACTATGGACAGCCTTGAATGCTACTCAAGACACCAAGTGGATCACAGTAGACACTTGAACTCCATGTAAAGCCTGCTCTGCACAGCCTTCTAGATTGCATAAATGACTACTCAGCCAAAAGTGAAACTAGTTTTCAAAAGCAGGCCCAAATTTTAGGTATTTAAAACAGAGAACAGAGTTTCATGTGCATACATGCTTTTATGTAGTTTACATCATGCTGTACTAGTTATAATGACCTCGGGCATTACACTTAACCTTTATATTTCTTCATCTGGGAAGTGGGGGTGATCGTTTTATCAACCACAAATGGTGGAAATGAGATCACCCACATAAAGCACTTCAAAAAGTCTCTGGCACAAAGTAGAATGCTCCATAAATGTTACCTACTTGTTATGACTTGTGGTGGTTTATTATACACGGAGAGGTAAAACAGAAGGAAGTGCCTTACTTGGGCCTCTCTGGTTGGTGAGCAGTGGTGCTGATATGAGACCTGTGACACAATCTTTTACGCTCTAGGATGCTACCCGCTGCTACAGAGGCCAGGGGACGTCCACTCAGGGACTTATAATCCAGCCCTGCCCCACTGCCTACCAAGGCCTCAGGGCTCCAGCAGTCCCCTCGCTCCCACCCTTGCCCCTGGACAAATGGGCCTGCATGCCCAGCTCAGACGCCAAAAGGGAGCATCCTGCTAGAAACACCCACTCTGTGCCCACCATACAGCCCCACCCCTCTCTAAAGTTAGTCACTAACTCCTAATCGAAAGAAGGAAGGTCCACTCTTGACACAATAGTCTCCAGTCTCATTCTTTTTTTTTTTTTTTTTTTTTTGTGTTACGCGGGCCTCTCATTGCTGTGGCCCCTCCCGTAGTGGAGCACAGGCTCCAGACGCGCAGGCCCAGCGACCATGGCCCAAGGGCCCAGCCGCTTCGCGGCATGTGGGATCTTCCTGGACCAGGGCACGAACCCGTGTCCCCTGCATCGGCAAGTGGACTCTCAACCACTACGCCACCAGGGAAGCCCTCCAGTCTCATTCTTGTTTCTCCAAATCCACTTCCTCTGCACCACAAGAAAAGAGAAGTGTTTTTCTGTTGTTGTTCACAGAGGCGTAAAATGTGTGGGTATCTGGGGTGAGGAGTGAAGGCGGACTCATGGGACACTTGTAACCAGACATGATTTTTTATGAGTTGGGCCCACAATTACACCAAAAGATTAAAATGAAAAGATTCTGATGCTTGGATGATTTAACTACCTCTTGATCATCCAAAATAGTACTAAAGTTCACAGCTTACCAAGTCATAATGAGAGTGAACTCCCTGCAAAAAACAAATCAGATATTCAAATGGAGAGCTGC